GTCAGTGCAAATCCTGCGAGCCAGGAAGCCAGGACTGGCAGTGGGGCCGTGTAAATCATCACGGTGGCCTCCCCAGACTACAGAGCCAGGCTCCAGAACACAGGATGGCTACTACCCTCTGACTGAGGCCTCTAAAATGTTGCAGACTGCAAGAAAAATCATGTCAGATAAATTTAGAATTTATTAAGGCGCCTTTATAAACCAAGCTTAGTGATAGCAGTACCCATTAAAATTAGTAAGTGAGAAGTCAACAATGATAACTCAGTCTGAGTTAAAGCCCTGAGAGAAAAAAATTGGTCATTATTGAAGACCCTGATTTTAGTTATCTTAGCAATATAGATTAACCCAAGAGATATACAGTCAGCAGCCTAGACATATTTGCAAAACTGTAAACATTTATTCTTATCTGGCTTTTTTGTTGTTAAGCATTACCTGTCCTGGAACTTTTGGAAATGCAGAAATTTGAATTAGTCTTCTGTAAAAAAAAAATTTTTTTTTTATAGTAATAGTATTTTGATATGACAGAATTATGTTCCACTTAGCATCTCACAGTATCTTTAATGCCTACTCAGTGGTATCTACTAAATAAAACTTTCAAATTTTTAAAATGTGTATCAAGGATGTCAAGATTTATAATATCTAATTGAAATAGAATCTCTTTATAAAACACAATATAGATGAGATGTAATTATTGGCATTAAGTGATTATTTTAAATACCTATAAAATAAGTACATAACTTTTATCAATCTGAAGCAATGTGAACATACTGAAAGGCAGAAAACACAAAGATCACTTCAACATAGAATCTTATATTCTGAGACACTTCAACAAAGCCAGGTCTGGAGTTCACTGGAGCCAACTAGAAAGATTTAATCGTTAATTAGATTTAAAAAAAAAAAAAACCAATTAACAGGAGATGTTATAATAATATGTGCTTTTAAAACTTTGTTGTTATACCAGAAGATCAGATTTTAATTCCATAAAGCAATGAACATTTTAGAAAACGCTGCAAACAGTTTTAAAATGATATATCTAAATATAAAGACTAGCAGATAAAAGCATGGGTGCATCCCATACCTGGAAAAAATTTAACAGTGGATTAGGTGTTACTTTGATTCCAGTTTATGTTTGGTGTAAATGTTACACCTTTAAAGGAATGCCTTAAACAATACCCTAAGAGTTATATTCATAAAATTCAAAAATTCAAAATAAAAACTTACTAGAGTTAAAAGAGAGATGTTAATTATGAAAAAAACATTGCTTTATAAAGTACAAGAGGCTAGGTATTCTTCTGTGGACCCAGTTTAGTTTATCTCCTACCACTCTGCTCTTGGCTAAAAAAGATTGGGGGTACCAGGCTTGACAAAGGGAAAAAAGGTAAAACATGCTGGAGAAAAGGCACCTGTGGGCTTAGTATCCTAACAGAGCGGAGGGGGAGGAGGTCAGGGAGTGATTGTACCTGCTGGAGAGAAGAGAGTTTAACCCTAAAATTGCTGGGCAGGAGGGACTTCTGTAGAGGATGCTTGCAGCTGTGAAATGGCAAGTGGGTGGAAATGTAAACTGGAATCCACGTCAACAAATCCATGACCTGTGGAAAAATGAAAGCATTTCCCTCCCCCAAAAGTTAAGAGGAAATTGGGTCCTTTCCATTGAGCCATAAGTAGAGCCTGAGCCTCCCTTTTTCCATTTAATCAAAGGAGTGTGCTCCTGGGGTGGAGCAGTGTCGGGGAAGATGGGGCAAACGCATCTGTCCCTGTATCTAAAGCTTGTCTCACTATTGTCCAAGTACCATGCGCTGAGGAAGGCATGGCAGCCGCCCCATGGATCTGATACCACCTCTTCATATCATTCCCTACCTGCTCCCATATTCGTAAACCCAGAGTTCCCTCCTCTGGGAACCAGGGACTTATTGTCCATATAAACTGCAAAAATTCTGAAAGCTGTTTTTTGCTAACCTTTACTCCTTTCTTTTGTAAAGTATGCTTAATATCAGCGTACAGGCTTCTGTCGCTGGATGCACTCTGCCTCATTTTAACTTTATAGTAACAGAGGGTACAAAACTTCTCAAGAAATGTTCTGACTATTCACCCCTCCTAACCTGACCTTCTGTCAGGGGGCCTGCAGCACCCTGGGTGAAGTCCTATCCACGCCGAAAAGAGAAAGAAAAGACTTACCTTCGTCGAGCCCCACGTTGGGCGCCACTTGCCGGAGTCCAGCTCCAGCTGAGTTCGGAACTCGCGAAGGGTGCGTGGATGAGGCGCAAAGAGGAAAGAAAGAGACGGACCACTAGGACTTCATGATCATAATGGACAATGCAGGAAAGCTGTCCGCTTTATTTATACAAAATCAGTCAAATTCTGGCTCAGACTTTTTACGTCATTAACAAATGGATATTTCTAAGAATAATTCTGCCTTTAGTTTTACTTAGAAACAATAGAAGTTCCTGCTAGGATTCTTATCCTACAACTCATTCTTGTATCACAAAGAAAAGGAGAACTTAAAGGTCAAGGAAAGAATGAAAGCCTAAATACAGGTCCCTTGATTAGCATAGGTTCAATGGGGACAGTTAAGATAATAGGAATGACAAAAGGCCCCATTTGCAAGACATTGACCTCCAAGTTCAGGCTGAGCAAAAGGTTAACCTCGCAGTAGCAAATGTCAGGATGGATTAGAATTCTTCCGCAGGGCGGTCCAGTGTCCATGCAAAAGAAGATGGAGTTGCATTCAGGTGGTTGTAGAGACATCCGCTGGATGGACCCCGCCGATCAGCGGGAAGTTCCTCGCGGCCCTGCCTGCAATGGAACACTCTTCACCCCCTCATGTTCCCCACATCTACTGCACGGACCCCAGCATGGCATATCGATTATTTCTATTTGTGATTATAGTTGGTTTCTCATTTACCTAGAAGGCAAGGAATTTCAAGTAATGATGAAACCATCTGCAACATGTGAGATGTAAACTATGAAACTGTTGGCAGCAACAGTTGTGTCTTTATTTTCTGTGCTCTCAGTCACCCAAAGTACCTGACACTTAATAGGTGATAGATATTATTTGAAAATAAAAGAGCAAGAGAGAACAAAAGGAAGGCTGCCAAAGAACAGTGTGGGGAAGTAATCTAACATGGAGTTACTCAAACATTGTCACAGTTGTGAACACAGCTACCTCATGATGCTCTTTAGCAAAAGAACCACCCAAAGATCTACATATTCTTCTAGGTGGAGACTTGACATAGTATAAGCCACAAGCTGCCACTGGAACATAATTATTTTGGAAATGCAGCAACGGATCACATGAGTGTAGACGCTTCTTAAATGCCTTCAAAAAGAACAAATAGAATGAGAACTGATCATTTGAAGCAGGTGTATAATAATATCTTAACTAGTTTGAGCCCTGTTCTATTCACCAGTTGAGGTATTAATCAAAATATTCAAAAATCAAATAAATCATTATATTAATTACAAATTATCACAAATATTGCTATGGCTTTGGTGGCATAATTGAAAAGTAGATTTTTCTGCTTCTTTAAAAACAGAGATCAATATAAACATCATTCTTAAGAAAGAATAATAAAGAAAAGGAAATCATGATGTGCATCTAGAAGTGTTGACCCGTCCTGTCATTGTCTTGGGCAATACTACATTAAAAAGTAAAAAAATAATAATAATAATTAGGAATTCCTATTGAAGATTAGGAATACGAAGAACAACTAAAATTTTCTCATTGTGTTTTGATAAAGAGGAAGGGAATAAAATCCCTGCTTCAGTAGTGAATTGCTGGTTGTATTCATCAGTTTTCTCCCCTTCCTGAAAGGCTGGGCGTGAATGATAGGACTAGCCTGGCTGCTGCTTGTGGGAAGGACTGTGGCTCCTCTTCTCATGGTCCCATCCTGCATGTATGCACTTCAGACAGGCACTTGGGCCCTTTAACACCCATTTCTATTACTAGCATCTTACTACTAAGATTCTGTATAATAGCATGCTTAATATGCCCTAAAGATGCTAAAAATGCTTTTTAAAAAATTTCTGAAGATAATACAATGTTTTGTGTTTCTATCCCATGATTTACTTTGATGAAATACCTTTCCAATATTTTAAATGTTACTGTAGCTAGAATCCAGGTGTGGTCAATCTGGGATGGTTCTGGTCTCCCTAGGTTATAAGTAGATCCTATATCGTCCTGTGTATTACTTTCCCCTCCCCATTGTGATATATAGGTCTTGCAGGATGGCAAAGGACTTGACTGTAATCTGTCAGGAATGTGCATACAGCTTGTGTGTGTCTTTGTGTATATGTGAACCACAGTCATGCTCTTTAGCTGTTGCCCTTTGACAAAGTAAGTGTCTGAGGGTCTTTTAAAGAGTGTGATGACTAACAAATGGGGGAAATTATGGGCAAGAACCAAGAATTCTGATTACTGACATTTCACTTCAGAAACAGTGAGGGGGATTCTGTTAGTATCCAGTCTACCCTCTTATTAAAGCAGGATCCATATCATAAATCTGATCTTCAGAGATTTTTGAAGTTTTTTTAAGTAATGAAGTTATGTTAAAATGAGCTGAACAAGTTAAATGCTCCTTTCCCATAGCTCTATCCTGACACTGCATCAACAGGTGGAGTTTTTAGGAGACACCTGCAAAGAACCTTAAATCTTTGCATTTACAACAAAAGGAAGGTTTGCTAGTGCTGTGTATACTGTTTCACTCCACATTCATTCAAAATCAATTGGACATTTTAAATTTATAGTTTATGCTTAATAGCACCATATCAAAATTAGAATTCTTCTTGGGTTACAAATGAAAATAATGCAGAAATTAAAATCACAATGAAACAAAAATAAGGGCATTGGTATAAGTAAAATAATTGAAAACTTTTTTTGGTACCATACATTAAAAAAAAAAAACTGCCTTATAAAAGTAATATGAAAAACACTAACTTAGCAAAGCTTGTTTGTCTTACTCCATTACTTCAGAATCTATCTGATCTTCTGTTTCAATTTGTAGTTTCCTGGTTAGTTTTATGGTGGATGCCCGAGGTGGTGCTATGCGAGGATGTAGACACAATGGGCTCCGAATCATTATCCCTCCTCGGAAATGTACCGCTCCAACCCGTGTCACCTGTCGACTGGTCAAGCGCCATAGACTGGCAACAATGCCCCCGATGGTGGAAGGAGAAGGCCTGGCCAGTCGCCTGATCGAAGTCGGACCTTCTGGTGCTCAGTTCCTTGGGTAAGGGTTTCTGATAAGCCTCCCGCTTAGTCTTGAGGAGCTTGTGTGCTCCACATGACAGCAGTAGGATGGAAAGCAAACAGGTATGTCAGAGCATGTTGGAAGAAGATTGGCTCCTGTGAAATTTTACAAATTGGACATAGTACCTTGATGTTTGACTCCACTTATGTGCCTCTTATTTTAAGGCATTAGTGAGTTGAACACCCAGGTTGAGTGTTACCCTTTGCTCTATGGATATAACAATTGCCAGATTCCAATAGGAATAATTCTGTTTAGCTGGTGGTAGGTATGTCCTTCTTATCTGAACTTAAAAATGTAAATTCTGTATTCCAAATGTTTACGGTCTCATGTGAAACAGAATCATTATCTCCACTTTGGAAACTAGTGTTGTCTTTATCAAATATCAAAAAATTGGTCTATGTGATTTGTTTTCTCTGTTATCAAAATTGCTACCTAGAGCTTTCTAATTGTACTGGCACTGGTTAGTCAGTTTTCATTCAAAATGAAAACATCAAAGTGAACTTTTGCCATGCTCATTCTAGCAATTTTGAGCAGAAATCAGCATTTCTTCTTCTGTTTGTTTGGATGGCTGCTATTATGCTAAGTGGCATCTCAAGGTGCCAAAAAAAAAAAAAAATGAATAGCAAGCTCTGAAAACTGACAAAAAGGATGAAGTTTTGGAGGGTAACAAGTTTCAAAACATTTTGAAACAAATCAATTGTATTTAAGTCTTGTCATATCAAGTTTTGGTCCTGGAAAACTGGGGAAAGAAATAGTATTCTTCTTGAATTCTTGCTCAGTGTCACACTGGGGAGATGACTTACTTTAGAACTCAAGAAGTGTTCTAAAGCCTGTGATTTGAAGCAAACAATTAACAGGTTGCTCCAAATCGCTTTAGCACCTGAAAAGGGTGTGTGCGTGCGTGTATTTCCCCATTAAGAGAAACCCCTTCTGATGTCCTCCTAGCAGACAGACCAGAGTAGTAGCAGGAGCCTGTGAAGTTCTGGGTTGCATCAGAAAATGCCATGAGGGCTGGAATAATTCTACAATGATTCGTCTTCAATTTTGTGTCAGACCCTTTTTCCCTTATGCCCAGGTCGTTAGGCTTTTTAATAATCTTCGAATCTACTCGGGGGGAATATCCATGAAAACATCTGGTCTCTGTACTGTGCAGAGTTTTCATTATATTCCCAACAGCATATATAGATACATACATTTTTTTTTTCTTTTTTGGCTAGTGCCCTGGCGGTGAACTAAATAGGGACAGCTGTGACAGCCCAGTGCACTCCTTGCACAGACGTGCCTCCATTGTCCACTCTGGGTCTCGCTTCCTTGCTCTTAGTGACCAATGGAGGGGGCAGAACCAAACGCAGTGTGAAACCAAAGTTCACCCTGTGGATCAGCTGGTGATGCTGGGGTTCTGTGGAAAACAACACCTGAAGCTTACTTATGTTCTTTCTTTCACTGCTGCTTTGGATGTACTCAGTAAACTTCACCTGCCAACGGCTCCTCCCCCACTTAATGAGGGAGAAAGTTTGGTCAGCCGCATCCTTCAGCTGGGGCCTCCTGGAACCAAATTCCTTGGGTAGGAGTGACTTAAAAACAAATTGATGGCTGCTGGCCCCCCATTCTTCTCCTTCTTCTGCAATATGATTTCTCTTTTTGTCATTGTGCCCATGACATGTCCCTCTCTATTATTTAAATTCTGTATAACCTATCTTTAGTGGACCATTTCTGACCCTTGTGGTATGTGACTTTTATTTTTGAGTGATGTTTTTATATCTTTTCCCTTTAAAGTTCTGTGATCTTCATTTTTGTTTAAGCATGAGATCTGCCTAGTTGTACTATGTGCTAGTTACTGTGTTGTTATGATGAATTTGGCGTCTGTATCAAAGCAACCTGGACCCAAAATTAAAAGCCTCTACATAAGTAGAGGATGAATCTGACCTAAAACTGATAGGATGGTGCATGTTCTGGATTCTGAACATAATAGGCATTGGACACAACTAGGCTGCCTGCTACTTGGCTCACTTAGGGCCACAGTGTGTACACATGCCTATTGTTTCCTTGACTGAAGATGATGTAAGCAAAAAACATGAGTGCATGGCTCTTTAGCACAAATAGTCAACTTTTCTGACATCTCCTCATTTACAGTACATCAAGTTATGCGATGTATGAGCCATTTTTCCTCTTAGATTACTTTGTCATTTTGCACCTTGTAGAAAATGTTGTAGGAGATTGGCACACATCATAGACATGCATGTATGTTTCTTTTGGTTAAACATGTTATACTGACATTTATCAAAGGAGAAGTTCCAGAATGCCACATGCACTCCGAGGGAAACATCATTTGGCTTTAAGAAGCAGCATGTACTTGAGGTTTGGTGCTCTTGAGGTAGAGTGCCATGGTACGACCCTCTGCTAGCTAAATGGGCTCTGGAGGACAGCCCCTGTTGTCTCTGCCCCTAGAAAGAGAAGAATTCCAGGTCACTTTGCGACAGACCAAGTGCGGTGCTTGTGCGGCTGTTGGTCGATTCCCATCCACACTAAGTGTTCTGCATTACCGTGTCAGGCCTGTGATCGTGGAGATCCCTCACTTTGCGGCCCTTCGAGGAAAGGAAAGGGAGCTGGTGGTCCTGCGCAGTGAGAATGGTGACAGCTGGAAAGAGCATTTCTGTGACTACACCGAAGACGAGCTCAACGAGATCCTTAACGGCATGGACGAAGGTACCGTTAGAGGATTTTAGAAGAAGTTCAAAGTAGAATCATGGAAGTGATGTACTTCCTGTGACCCAGGGGTTCCTTGTGTTATTTTATCACAGTGGCAGTGTGTTTTGTCCCTGTCATAAGTTAAAACACAATACATTTGCCTGGTTTTAATTTTTGTAACATTCAAAAAATCAGACTCCTTTGTAATAATAAATATTTCATTATTTTAAATAGAGACTGCACATTTCCATGTTACTGTAAACATTTTGAAACTACAAGATAGAATACAAATCTGTTTTTCTGATAAAATAAATTGAATATAATTTTTGAAATGCTTAACATGAGAAGTTGTACATTTTAAATATTGATTTTAAAAGTATTAAACTATTTTGTTCGAAAACTTACATCTACTCCTAATTAATATATGATAAGATAATGCAAATAAGATTTATTTTTTTACTTTCTATTATTAGGGAGATAGAAAAATTAAGCTGGCTCAATCTTCTACTTGTAATTATAACAGGGATGTAATTGGGTTGGCTTACATACATCTCTTGTTGAGAATTTTAGTTCTTCTTTAGAACTATAATCTCCATAAATCTCAAATCTGCTTTGCGGAGGTAAGCCACAAATTGAAACATCTCTGCTTGATTTGATGGAAGTCACATATTCTCAAGCCCTGTAAGTTTTAAAGAAAAATAAGTTCTAATACCAGGAGGCTCATTCATTATAATTAGCTACACAAATCATTCTTTGCGTAAGTGTCAAGAGTTCATCAAGTTTTGTACAGAGCTGGACATTCAAGGTATGAGGTTGCTGTTTATCAGTCTGCCAGGCCTCCTTGAAGTAGCTGCAGGTGGCTCCTGGAGAGGAGAGAGGAACCTGGGCACACCTCCTGGAGTACTTCAAGGTCTGAATAAGAAGGAAACCCAGCTTCCCTTATTTCAGTGGTCAGCAAAGGAAAAGATCATGTCCTCTAGACAGATGGGTTAGTGTCTTCCAGCTACGATTAAACAATCAGGAGTCATTGAAACGCCCTGTACTCTGCCATGTTTAGGGGCTTCTACCTTGTGGAACCATGTCATTTCTTTTTCTCTGCAGAACCTAGGGTTAGACTATTTTCTTTTGAGATGTTTTAGCTGTCATTGACTGTCAGGGTCCCTTGACCAGCAAGTCAAACCCGGACACTTGTTGTCTTTGCGGAGCCTTTATTGTGGAGAAGACACAGCAAAACCGGCGCGCGGCGGGCGTGCGGCAGCCGCCGTGCAGCCGCGCAGCAGCCACACCATCGCGAGGTGCGCTCTCTCTCCCCGAGGTGCGCGCTCTCTCCCCGAGGTGCGCGCTCTCTCCCTCGGCGGGGTGCGCTCTCTCCGTCCGCGGGGTGCGCTCTCTTCCCGCACGGGGGTGCGCTCCCTCCCCGCGCGGGGGTGTGCTCCCTCCCCGCGCGGGGGTGCGCTCTCTCCCCGCGAGGGGGTGCACCCCCGCGTGGGGGTGCGCTCTCTCTCCCGCTCTCTCCGCTCTCTCCGCTCTCTCCGAGGCGCGCTCTCTCCTGCTCTCTCCGTAGTGCGCTCTCTCCCTCCGCCCCAGTTCTCTGGCTCCCTTATATGCTGGGTAACCCGGCCAATCAAAGTAAAGGTCACCTGTGCACGCAGTGGGCAGGCCAATCATCATACAGATCACGCGCTGTCCACGCGCCATCCACGCACCCCTGGGCCAATCACAGCAGACTTCCTGTAGCTTGTTTTGTCTAGCACAGGAGGAAGCGGCAGTCTGGCGCCGTCAGTGTAGGGTGTAGGATGCAGGCTCCCTACAGCTCCCCACAGCTCCCCCTTTTTGTTTTATTAATCACGGGACCGTGCCTGTCTTAGGTGTTCCGGAGTAGGCTCTCCTTACCCGTCATCAGCTAACCACCTGGCTCGTGGCGCCTGGCTTAGGTTGGTAGAGCCTTACCGGATACTTACCCGTCTTTGACTACCAGTCCATCATGTTAAGCCATTCCTCAGGGGATTCATGTCTAGTGAAGGCCATGACAACCTGCAGTAATAGCACCTGTTGCTGCTGCTGTTGCTGAAATGCGTCTGCATAGAGTGCGAATGGCCCAGGCTCTCAGATCATCACAAGCATGCATACACCAATCATTCCAGCCCACTGCTTAGCAAAGGATAAACACTTTAACAATCAATTAGTCCATGGTTCCGCAGTCATTAGTATAAGTCAGAAACAGATTAGACAAGTTCAAGCCAGGAGCCACCCTACAAGGGTGACAGTGCTCTGGCAGTCAGTCCAGTCTGGCGGCCATGACCATTGGCCCATACAACGAGGGAGGAGCTGACAAACTCCCAGTCACAAAATGGTTCCCGCATTGTGAGCGCTGGCAAAAAAGCGGGGTACCTGACCCGTCAGGAGATGTGCCCATCTTCCTGAGCTGTTCCTCCGAAATTGTCCAATGGTCTGGTTCGCCAATAGAATGCAAAGTCTGGTCCCATTTGTCCATGGCCGGCTTTGAAAACAAACCGATCCGTGCAATTGAATTGTCCGGTTCGTGGATGGCACTGTGGTGTTGTCTAAGGGCACCACCAGTAGTCCAATAGTCGCATCAGTGTTGAAGAATGGGGGCAGCATTGATGAGTTATTGGTCACCAGTAATGGCACTGGCCATGCCTTCACGATCGCCCATAGTTGAAGCTGTTGGCTCAGTGTTCCGGGAGGCAGCAGTGTTACCAGCAGGATCACCAGCCTGAGCGTCCAGGGCTTCATCTTGGATGTTGTCCGGCACAGAGGCTCTCACCACTCTCGTTAGGCGCTCTGGTATCCACACAGGGGCTTCTGCATCCTGCGGAAAAACACAAACTGCACCTCGCGTCCGCCTTAACACCGGATGCGGGCCCTTCCACTGTTTAGTTAACACATCCTTCCATATCACTTGTTCCTGAGTAATGCCGCAACCCAGGGCATGGCGTTCGGCAGCAGACCGGCCATCCAAATTTAACATAACTTGATCATGAACATCCCTGCAAATCTTTATCCATGTATCTAGATCTTTATGTTTCCAGGGACGGATGGCCTCACGGCACCATTTGTTAGCATTCTCGTAAGCCAGCTGCTTAACCAGAGGCATAGCCTGCTCTACATCGGGGAAAAGCTTTCCTGCTACCTCCATGAGGCGACTCACAAAATCAGCATAGGGCTCGTTAGACCCCTGAGTCACTTTAGAGATGGAAAAACGGAGGTCCCCTTTACTCTGTAGAGCTCGCCACGCAGTACGGCCTATTTGTTGAATCTGGCCATAAACTGGTTCAGGATACTCATGTTGATTATTGTTTCCTGCCCGAGCTCCCTCTCCCAGCAGCATATCGGCATTCCATTCCCTGTTTCCACCTTGTGCGTTACGCTGTGCCTGGTTCATGGCCAGTTCACGGTATGCGGCCCACCAGACCAGATATTGGCCAGGGGAGAGAGTGGCTCTGGCCAACTGTTTCCAATCATCTGGGGTCAGGGCATTAAAACTAATCTGTTCTAGCAGCGCGATTGTAAAGGGGGCATGCACACCATAAGAATCGACGGCTGTTTTCAAATCCTTAATCACTTTGAAATCAAGAGGGAGGTAAAACCGCGGCCATGGGGGGCCCGCCCCAGCGTTCCGATCCTCATGAACAGGGAACACCTGGCCGGGCTCCACAAGGTCCCGCCAGCCAAATCCCGCACCCCTCTCCGGCCACGCAGGCCAAGGAGGGGCGCTGGGGTTCACTGGTGGGTCACCCGTGCTATCTGCAAAAATGAAGTACTGTCTGTGCCTTTACCGGCATTCCATTCCTCTTCAGTAGCTTCTGCAGTAAACACTGCATGTGTACTGAAGAATTTGAATTTCCCATATTGTTACCACTTCTGGTAAGCTTACTCTTGTCGCTATCCCGCGAACCTAGCGTACGCTTCCCGCTCAAGGCGGCTCCCTGAGTCTCTGCTCAGCTCCTTTTCAAATTCCCCGCTTCCGCGGCTCCCTGAGTCCCTGCTCAGCTCCGTTTCGCGCTCCCTGCTTCCGCAGCTCCCTGAGTCCCTGCTCAGCTCCCTTTCGCGTTCCCCGCTTCGCTTACCTGTAGTTCCGATCCGAGTCACGGCACCAGATGTCAGGGTCCCTTGACCAGCAAGTCAAACCCGGACACTTGTTGTCTTTGCGGAGCCTTTATTGTGGAGAAGACACAGCAAAACCGGCGCGCGGTGGGCGTGCGGCAGCCGCCGTGCAGCCGCGCAGCAGCCACACCATCGCGAGGTGCGCTCTCTCTCCCCGAGGTGCGCGCTCTCTCCCCGAGGTGCGCGCTCTCTCCCTCGGCGGGGTGCGCTCTCTCCGTCCGCGGGGTGCGCTCTCTCCGTCCGAGGTGCGCTCTCTTCCCGCACGGGGGTGCGCTCCCTCCCCGCGCGGGGGTGTGCTCCCTCCCCGCGCGGGGGTGCGCTCTCTCCCCGCGAGGGGGTGCACCCCCGCGCGGGGGTGCGCTCTCTCTCCCGCTCTCTCCGCTCTCTCCGCTCTCTCCGAGGCGCGCTCTCTCCTGCTCTCTCCGTAGTGCGCTCTCTCCCTCCGCCCCAGTTCTCTGGCTCCCTTATATGCTGGGTAACCCGGCCAATCAAAGTAAAGGTCACCTGTGCACGCAGTGGGCAGGCCAATCATCATACAGATCACGCGCTGTCCACGCGCCATCCACGCACCCCTGGGCCAATCACAGCAGACTTCCTGTAGCTTGTTTTGTCTAGCACAGGAGGAAGCGGCAGTCTGGCGCCGTCAGTGTAGGGTGTAGGATGCAGGCTCCCTACAGCTCCCCACAATTGACAATACCATGAGTATTACCATTTTGCCCTTGGATGGACTCCACTCATAACTTTATATGTTTGTAAAAAGTTCATTGTAAGACTGCAATAATCTTTAAAAGGGAGGTGGGGTGGTTATTTAGTGAGTTTTAGAAGCTCCAGTCAGCAATCCAAAGGCCTTATTGGTGTGGCCTCAGTTAAGGCTGCCGTGCTGAGGAAGGCAGGAGAGAGGGCACATGGTGAGCAAGGGAGAAGGAAGTGTGATTGGTTGTCAGATTTTAAACAACAAGCTCTCTGATCAGAACTGTCTTTCTGGGACATTCTTCCACGGACGAAGAACCTGCAAGTAACTGGATGAAGTTTCTGCCCTCTGAGTACATTAATTTCTGGATATATTTGGTGAATTCAGGAGGAAAACCATGTTGACACTCTAGAAAATACTCAGATGTGTGCATGTCTATCTTGTATTTGGAAACTTACGCTTATGCTCATATTTGCCTGTGTATCTGTCTTCAATTACATATGAACAGATCCTGGGTCTTTTGGGTACTTTTGCTATGTAATGATGCTTAGTAGTTAAGAAAAAACACCATCCCTATGTCTGCCTCTAGAATGAATTATAAATGGTTTCTATAAATGGACAACTATCCACAATCCCTCCAAATTCAGTGATGCAGCTCATTTGGATTTAATATGTTTTAAGCCCCTCTGATTTTTTGTCATTGTCCTATATTTCTATAATAATGCAGTTTAAGTACTGCCCATTATTTTCTCCTCCTGGTATTTGATGATGATATATTCGATAACTAATAGCATCACAGGAAGATTGAATATCTGAATTGGTAGTAAGAGATCTCTTTTCATATATGTGTCTCTCTGAGAATCAGTGTCCAAATCAATTAAATGGATAAACACAAACCTTGCCTTTTCCAAACAGCTTTTATTTCTGCACTGCCCAACTGAGACTTCAAAGGATCATGTTATTTTTTTAAATCCACAATAATTTGTCTTTGTGCTCACCTTGAAACTTGCAAAGAAATGGCCATAGTTAATTTTCTCTCTGTCACACAAACCTAAAATAGAGTAGGTTCGTGTTATTTTAGGTTTTCCCTCAACCCTCTCATTTACAAAGCCGGCTCTGCAATCCTGAATCTGGAGCAGGATACTTATCTTTCACAGTGCCCTGGAAAGTCCTACTTTGCACAAAGGAGGAAGATGTGCATGCTAAATGCTGACAGGTCCTGAAAGACTGCAATTTCTTTTCTTTGTGAGGATAAACTTGCTTTTTAGATTCAACTGTTGTGCAATACATACAGTTTAACTACCTCATGTGTTCAGGGTAAACGCTGCTGATGAGTTTATCTAAATGCTTTCAGAAGGAAATTTGTGCTACATGTAAACAAGTCCTTTCTTGTCTCAGTGCTGGATAGCCCTGAAGACCTGGAAAAGAAGCGAATCTGCCGCATTATCACCCGTGACTTCCCACAGTACTTTGCCGTGGTCTCCCGCATCAAACAGGACAGCAATCTGATTGGTCCAGAAGGAGGCGTGCTGAGCAGCACGGTGGTGCCCCAGGTGCAGGCCGTCTTCCCAGAGGGGGCTCTAACCAAACGGATCCGTGTGGGCCTGCAGGTATGATCATGGCAGATACAGATGCAAATGATCTTATCCTGGATTCCAGTCCACTGATTACAAATTAGTTTTCCAAATGAGAAATCAAACAACAATGAATCAGGGAGTGGCATTTTGCAAAGTGTTTCAGCCACTGTTCAAGCTAACAGCATTCCACAAGGGAGAACCTGAGTTGGGATTCCAGCTCCATGAAGAGTTCCAAAGTCTTGTTAGTGTTACTCTGGGAAGCAGAGGTGATGACTCACATAGTTGGCTCTCTGCCACATGCATGGGAGATCCTCTATTTCCTGGCTCCCAGCTTCAGCCTGGCCCAGCGCTGGTTGTAGCAGGCGACTGGGGAGTGATAGAAGCACTTTGTCCTTTCCAAGCGCTCAAATGAAAATAACAACAATGCATTCATTCTACCTGAGTGAACAAAAGCTCTCTTTGGAGATCATAGGTCCCACAAAGTTTTATGAGAGCTTAGTTGCACTGCTAAACTTATGACTGTCAAATGTAAAGTCTACCAAGTGGATAGTTAGGTAGAGTGATGCTTCAAGTAAGACATTTGACATTACATATAATAACGTACTGTTTATTTTAATATGTTTTGTTACTTTGAAAAGGCTCAACCTATGCACTCTGAACTGGTTAAAAAGATACTAGGTAACAAAGCTACCTTCAGCCCTATCGTCACTTTGGAACCCAGAAGAAGAAAATTCCACAAGCCAATTACAATGACCATTCCTGTCCCCAAAGCTTCAAGTGATGTCATGCTGAATGGTTTTGGGGGAGACGCACCAACCTTAAGATTACTATGCAGCATAACAGGTAGGCCACATAGGATTGGGTTAGTAGAGAGCTCTTAAATAAGAAACTTGGATCCTTGCACACACTCCATTCTCTTTGTCATAAAGTACCTGCTGGGGCTATATGCATTTCTTCAAGAAAAGCACTTTCATTAACTATTGAGGTCAAGGGTGAAAGGAAATGAACTCATATTTACAGAACTTTTGTATTTCCATCTATAAAGTATTCTATATTCATTGTCATTTTTATGGTAGAACTTGAACCCTATTTGGCTGGAAAGGAAACCAAGGCTGAGAAGGGAAGTAATTTACTCAAGTTATGCTAAAATAATTGGCAAATTCGGATTCACAGCCAAGTCTAAACTTCAACCCCTTTGTTGAATAAATTATGTTTTATCTACTGGGGTGAAAAAGCAGCAAATAATTATACCCAGTAATTCAAACCAAGGAGTTGCTTATATTCTTAGAACTGGTTATGTCTGCCATTTAGCTATTGAACTAACTTTGGAAAAGAAGTCAAGTTTTTTTAATAATTAACTGAATTTAGGTCCTTAGTTGGCCCAAGGATCTAGAAATAACACAATTCTAAATGATCTTCAGAGCCTGGCCATTAGAATGAAAGCTTCAGAATGCCAGGCAGAGAATAGAACACCCAGCAAGAAGTTAACTGCCCTGGCTCTCATTGCTTGAAAGGCAGTGTCTCCTGTTTGTTTTCAATGTGTCATTTTTTTTTTTAGCACATTGTTTTAGTCATTTTGTTTCCACTGTGTCATTTTGAGGGATGGGCCGGATCATACTGGTGAACACAGCCAGAACCATAAAGCCTTTGTTTTATAGTTTGGAGTCTGGAGTTTTGCCTATTTTTTTTTCAACAATCCTATTATTTCAGGTGGAACCACCCCTGCTCAGTGGGAAGATATTACAGGAACTACGCCATTAACATTTGTCAATGAATGTGTTTCCTTTACAACTAATGTGTCTGCCAGGTATGGTTTCTGCACCGTGCAGAAGAGCCCCCTATGCTATTGTGCCCCTTCCTCTGAAAAGCCTGTCTCGTCTTTTGTTCTTAATTCACTGCAAGTGGTTTTTGGCTTAATTTTGAGTATGGTTGGCATTTACTTAGACATTTTAAGCTAGACCCATGAGCAAATGTAATAATGATAAAATGATAACAAAGCATTAGTCCTTCATTTCAGATCCATCTCACTTGGCTACACATTTCTGACTAGCTTTAGTGCCGCTGCTTATTTTTCCAGTCTCAAACACCTTAGGAATGATAACTTTCCTTTGTCAACAAAATAGTCTGAATTACTCTCCCAACAGAAGGATAACAAACAGTGCAACCTTATCAGTTTGCTAAATGGCTTAAAAATGTCAACATTTCTTAACTATCTTTAACACACTTACATATCACCCATTTGTGTATTACACCTCTTTAAAATGCTGAAAGTGTCTGTTTTTATTCCTTATGCACATATTAACTCAATGTGTTGATATTACTTCCCATTTCTTGTGATGTTTGGCTAATAGCTGAAGTTTCTTCATATTTATTTGTGATTTAAGTAGGCTAAGAGGAACTATTTTACAAATGAAAAAAATGAACTTGAGGGTGATTAAAACATGTAAATTCTGGTTCAGAGTGATTATAAAACACATAATGATAATGAAAAACAATACACAGCAGTACCAGGAGTGGTGGTGTGTATTTGTTGTTCCAGCCACAGGGCTCAAGCACTGAGACTGCAGTTCTGTGTTTCATTGCTTTCTGCCAATCATGTATCTGTATTCTAACGTCAGAGGATGACACGTTCTGAAGCAGCATTTATAGACTAGAAATATATACAAGCGTTCACAGACAAAAGCAGTGGTAGATAGCATTTCCAAGAAGAGGTGACTTGTATGATATATGTTAAAATTTTAGTGGCAGATAAAAGTGAAAAGAGAATAAGGTGAGCAAAGATGCAAAGACAAAAGATGGATGGTGTCTTCTGGGATAGCAATGATGATCCATATTGTCTAGAATTCAGAAAGAATGCTAAAATACTGCTTTACATCACTATTTAATGAAGGTCTCATATGCTATATCAAGCAAAAAAAGTCCCTGTATAGATACAACTTTTATTGGGCAATTAAAGACATACAAAAAGGCTTCCATATTTATATGAAAACAAAGATGCTACAATAAATACTATTTTTAAAAAGCATTTGTGGTAAAAGGATCTTCAAGAAATCCATGGAAAATACTTAATATGGGGGAACAACTCTGCATACACTTTACATCAAACTAATTCACCTTTTAATATTTTCCATTAATTTTTGAAGTAGCCTCATATGTAGCAGCTGACCTTAAAAACTTGTCAATTCTGTTTCATCTCATAAAACTGTTCTGTCTTCCCATTTATCTTCCCATTTTTCCTGCTATCTGCTGTTCCCCTTTCCTTTTATCTTTCTCTCACAATCTTTCTTTTTTCCTTCTTTTTCCAAAACCCACATGATGACTACTTGGATCATGTTGAAGGTGCTGCTTTTATTTCTAGTACTATGCTTTCAACTGTGGATAATTGATTTTTTTTAAATTCCCCTTATAGGTTCTGGCTCATAGACTGTCGTCAGATCCAAGAATCTGTTGCCTTTGCTTCACAAGTGTATAGAGAAATTATCTGTGTACCTTATATGGCCAAATTTGTAGTGTTTGCCAAATCGCATGACCCCATTGAAGCCAGGTTGAGATGCTTCTGCATGACTGATGATAAAGTGGACAAGACCCTGGAACAACAAGAAAACTTTGCTGAGGTGGCCAGAAGCAGGGATGTGGAGGTACTGTGTCAAAAAATAACTAAGCTTTGTTGTAATACCTTTATTAATAAGTTATATTTTAAATAGAATGTAATAGAGTCATGAAAAACAAAGATTCATTTCTATGTTCATTAGTTTGAAGGTTACGGTCCTATATCAGACAGTTCTAGTTAGTTTGAACTTAGACTGTAGTGATGATCACAATGTATCTGAGGAAGCAAAAGGATATATTTAAAGATTTTTGGGAGTAGAAATCATGAGTTATTTATAAACCCAAAGTACATGACAATACCAGTTTGTTGTTTTTAGCTTTTCTTGCTCTTCTTATTTTTTAGCAGTTCAGAAAACAGACTAGGAATTATATCCTTTTGTGTACAAGTCGAAGTAGGATAGCTAATGTTTTTCTGTATTACTTTTTTGTTATTTCAGAATTTTTCATGATAGATCTACTGATATTGGAGTCAAGTAATCTGACTCATAGCAATGTACAATGTACCTTTTAGATTTCAATATGTACTGAAGTCGTGGGGTATCGTGGTGCATATGAGAAAGGAGAAATTAAATCTCACCAAGTACTTTAAAATTCCCTTTACTATTAAGAATAGAAAGTGCTAGTCTTTCTTTGCTAAAGATATAATATCAATTGACAATTTAAAAATTGTTACACGTTGATTTTAATAACTTAAAATTCCAAGTATTGTAATCACTTTTTAAAAATAATAAGTTGTAATGTACCCTATTTTATTTCTCTTTTTTATTAAGGTATTAGAAGGAAAACCCATATATGTGGATTGTTTTGGCAACCTGGTGCCATTAACCAAGAGTGGCCAACATCATATATTCAGTTTTTTTGCTTTCAAAGAAAACAGACTTCCTCTCTTTGTCAAGGTAACGTAGATATATAATTTTACAATCCATTTTATTCACATGGAATAAAGGTCTCCAGGTCCCAGGGAAAGATGGGAATGGGAAATGTTTAATGGCTACAGTTTATGTTTGGAAAGATGAGAACTTCTAGATAATGGTGATGAGCACATTACCTTTGGAATATGCCTCATGCCACTGCAAAGTACACTTAAAAATGATAAATGTTTGTGTGATGCCTATTTTGATACAATTTTTAAAAAGCTGAATTCAACTTTGGGAACTCTAATGTAGAGCATGATAAATCACTAATAACAATGTGTTGTGCACTCAAAAATTTTAAGAGAACTCTTAAGTATCCTTACTCCACAAAAAAGGAGTATAATTAAGATGGGCGATGGGTATGTGATTTAGCTTGATGGTGTTAATCACTTCTAGTGTGGACATAAACCAAATGACCATACTGTATACCTTCACTATGTGAGAAATAAAATTAAAAGGCTGAAGGATTTTTTAAAGGTCATTTAGATAATAGCAGGAAAACAGAAAATAGAGTAAGACTTTTTTCAGCATTTTTCAACATTCACAAATGGATTTTGTTTTCCTGTTTCTAATATCATCTAACTAAAATAATTAGTGTGGGTGAAGCATGTATGTTGTTCTTGTTCAAGGTACGTGATACAACTCAGGAGCCTTGTGGACGACTATCATTTATGAAGGAGCCCAAATCCACAAGAGGCCTGGTGCATCAAGCTATTTGCAACCTAAACATCACCCTGCCAGTTTATACAAAGGTATTGTACAAATGTACTGAGTCCAATTCTGGCTCTTTTACTATTTCAGATCCTTTACTGAACACATGCACATACAACAGTCACTTCTGGTTCCTTTTCAAATTTATAATCTTCCCCTTGAGTAAGGAAATAAGTCTTTTTGCCCTTATATTGTATTAAATACATTTGCATGAGAAAATTCGAAGTTTAAAATTGATTTCTGTGACTTAATTTTTAAAAATGAAATGATTGACTATTTTTATGTGCTCTTTTGAGATTTTACCGATGCTTTTGACGTGACAAAACCTTAGAGTCCACTGGCTTCTGCTTGTGACAGATTCATAGATGAGTCATACATGACTTAAATTGACGAGTCTCATGATGTTTTGTATTTTTTCTAAAGTAATTGTCTGTTGCTCTCAAAACCTATCCTAAGAATTTCCATTTTTTCAATTGTTTTAGTATTACTACTGTAAAACATCACCACCATTTATTGAAAGTAATTTTGAAACACTGTTGGAAACAAAAGGGGCTGGCATTGTGACGTGGGGTTAAGCCACTGTGTGTGATGCCAACATCTCGTGAGTGTTTGTTGGACTCCTGCCTGCTCCACTACTAATCTAGCTCCCTGGGGAAGCCGGGGAAGATGACCCAAGTACTTGGATCCCTGTCAACAACATGGGAGGCCTAGATGGAGTTCCAGGCTTGTGGCTTCAGCCTGGCCCAGCCCCAAACACTGAGGCCATTTAGAGAGTGAAACCAGAGGATGAGCAAACCCTTCCTATCTCTCTGTCCCCATCTATCTGTAACTCAGCCTTAGACATAAATAAATTTAAAAAAAGCTAAAATAATATGAGGGAAAAATCATTAATTTATGAACCAAAGTCTGTTCACAGGTATTGCTTTGTAGTCAAACTTCTCTACATTTATTCCTTGAATACTCTGGAAGACAAATGAATAAATTAAATATTGTGCATAATCGCCTTTTAAAATTATCTTAAAATTTTTTTAACCAATGTACATTTTTACTAGGGTGCTCCTTATGTCAGACCGTGGGTGGGTGCAGGGTTACCAGTGTTAATGGTCTAGGTGCGGAAGGGAGCGGGAGCTGACCCACTGATACCTGGAAGAGAAGTAGAGATAAAAAGCTCCGATCTTGAGCCAGAAAATAAATACCTTCATGTACTTGTTTTTCACCTACCAGGCTTTGTCAAATTATGTGCTTTGCTTCATTGTTCTTGTAAATAATCATGCAGAAAAAAGTCCATTTTGTTATTTTGACATTGTAAATTGTTACAGAATGACAAAAATAAAGTGAAACATCCATATAAGAGAGCTTCAAAAAGTTCATAAAGTATCTGTTACGAAACCCCTAAACACACACTTCAAAATCTCGTTACACTAAAGCTTAACTTTTCAGTTTATTTTTCATGGGCTTTTTGAGGTACTCTCATGAAAATGAATATATCCATGTTATTCTGAGAATGTCAAATAAAAATCACAAAGAAATGTGTACTTCTGTGGACAAGACATCTGAGTGATCCGTTAAGGTAAATGAACTATGTCCGATTCTGGTGAGCTTCCAACGCGCTATTAAAAAACAGTATATTTTTATTACATCTTATTTCTATGTCCACAGTCATCAGAAACAATTATTTAAAATGCCATGAAGGTCCAGGACAACTTTGTATTTAGCAACAGAAAACTAAAAACAATATGCCAAATATTGCACTTCAAGGTACACTTTGAAATTTAGTACCCCTTTATTTTTGCTAAGCTGCCTAAATATTGCCTGAGGATTGAAAATATTTTCACCAAATGTTGACTTCTAGCTTTAACATTTTCAACAGACATCTGTAGTGAGTTGAATACCATCATACGCATTTCTATAAACAGATGATGGCAAATTTATTAGGTGTTCAGCTTTGAGACTGCTGGCAAGCTTTGAAATTAGTGTGTTTACAACTTTGGCTCTTTTTGCTCTTGACTCTACACACTTGTATTTAAATGAGTCCTCTTTGATTTTTTTCTGTCTGTCTTCTGTAAACATTAGTAAGAAAGAGTGTACTGAATGTTTACATGCCAGCTGATGTTCGATGGCCAGGCTTTTGAGCTTTTCTTCTAAATCATCTCTGCTCTCCCTTCTCTTTTCCCCTTCTTGCATGGCATCTTGGGTCGACCAGGAATCAGAGTCAGATCAAGAACCAGAGGAAGAGGTAATTTCATGACAATGTCACTGGTTAATGATTGTGTCATTGCTATAACCACTCGTAAGAGCACTTGATTAACCCATGTTCTTCAAAAGGGCAGGCAGTCGCATTCAGTAATGCAGGAGATAAAATTTATCCACCTCTCTGAGTTTGTTTTTTCTTCCTAGAAACCAGCTTCAAAGAATTTTAAAGTTCCCCTGTAAATAATTGTCTTCTCTGCATGCAGCAATATGTATTTCTCTGCTAACCATGGGTACTTGAGCCACATTTTAGCAATTCTCAAAGGTTAATCTTGAAGATGTACGGAAGTCAAAGGTTTCTTTCTTTATGATAGATGCAAGACATGATTACCTGATTTTTAACTATCATATCCTCACAAGTTCCAAAACAGTTTTCAGAGGCTATATTCCTGCGTTCTAGCATCTTCTTATTTTTAATTTGTAATACAGACTTATTTAAACATTTCTCATGTTCAACAACAACAACAAAAAGGTTTTTGGGCTTTTCAGCTACTTTTTTCAGAATAAAATCCGGAAACCAAAAACTTTGAAAATCCCTCAGACTAAAATGCTGTAAGTGATATTTGGTTCATCCATGAGATTACAATAATGTCACAGTGTAGAATTACATTACTGAGAAGCATTTCCTATAGAGGCAAGTCTTCACCAAGTGCTCAGTGTACCTTGTTACCCCTAACCTTTCTTAACCATCCTAAGAGGTATGTGCTAATGCATCATGAATGAAAAAAATAAGCCTTAGAGGTATTTTCTTGGAAAAAAAAGCTATTTGAGCTACACTTGTTTTAACATTTAGCATTGTTTTCCTTATAAAGATCTGAAACCAGTTGTCATAATAAGAAATGGAAGAAAAGATTAGAAAACTTTGTATAGTTAACTAACAATCTATCAACACCTATTTCTAGGATAGACAAACGACACTGTTCCTACTTAGATATAAAGATTTTAATATAGATATTTTCTGAGTGTTTATAATTACTTGAAGTACAAAAAAAAGCTAAGAAAAAATATAATCAATATCCTTGTACTTAGGATCTTAAAAATGTAAGGCATTACGATAGAGGAGCCCTCTGAACTCAGTTTATTCCTGATATCTTGGCAGTGGAGCAGGGTGAGAGGGGAGGTGCACACCCAGTGTCCTGCCTTAATGGCCACATACATAATCAGCGTACAATAACATTGTAGACATTCTTGTTGTCACTGCACACTCCCTGTCCCTTGCACCCAGCTTCTCTCCTGTATGCAATGACCCAATCCAGTACAGCTGTTAAAACCATACCTATACATCTTCTTGAAGAGCAATAATACTTGGATAGCAACCTTGCTGCATCCACGAATAAATCTTTCACCCCAAATGTATGAATTTCCTATTGGACACTTTGAGAAACTCCATAGGGCAAAAGATCCCTCCCACTGGGATTCTTTCTGCCATCTGGAGTGCTGACTTGTTATTAATGATCCCAAAAGTACTTCTGTATAGAATGTCACACCCTGGCATGCTGTTCTTTACCCTTCCTTTTCACTACTAAATTGACACTTTAGTTTAATAGCAACTTCACATTTTTCTTGACCTTTTCCCTTATATGTGCATTTCTAACATGAAATATGCCCTGAGTTCTGTCTTTCCAGAGATAACATATTAAAAAGGACTTCCCCACCTGTAGTGTCTAGAAAAGTCTTTTTTCAAAATTCCATTAAGAATCACTGAGACTCATTAAGAACTGCAGCAAATTCCTCCTTTTTCTGATGCCACCCCTGTGTTTCTAACTATGACTGGGAGCTTATTCTGCACATCAGGAGTTGTAAGCCAAGATGTTATTTGTAATCATCCAATTTATATATGTTTTCTTTCAGATCGATATGACATCAGAAAAAAGTAAGATTTTAAATAAAACTGGTTTGTTTGCAAGCTGGCTATAATGAGAGAAGCATGCATTAAGATGCAACCTAGTTTCCATTACTAACCACTGTAATGATTACATTTTATCCTTATTAATCATTAATAAGTATCTATAAAAGCAGCTTGGCCAGTTAAATTACAAATGTATCTAATTTGTGAGCTAATTAGCAGTAAAGCGCAATTATAATTCATTTAAGCATTCACTTTCTTTTGACATCCCTGTTAACCCTGGTAATGCTGTTATGCTTGTTTAGAAACCCAACCTACCGTTTTGTCCATTTGTTAGCATAACATTGTCACCTCATTATTTTTTAAGCACTGACGTGACAGTATCACTTTTAGGTCAAGCAACAGTGGTTTGTGCAGAGTTCATGGTTTTTGTAGGATACACCTGCAAAAGTGATACTGTCAATAATTCTTAGCTGAAATTAACCTTCCCCTGACCTACTCCACCCCTCCCTCCCTTGCACCCCTTACTGTGGTGACGTGTCACTGAAATCTTTAGGGCTGAAATCTAACAATTTTTTTTCTGAAAAACTCTCCTTTAAAAAAAAAACACAAGGAGCCAAGAATGCACAAATTAAACAGCCTTGGATGAAATTGCTGAACTGCATTAATATCACAATGATATTTTATTATCAGGTTATTGTAAAAATAACCATACAAATCCCAAACCTGATCTAGAGTGCAGAGAACTGGCGTTTACAGACCTTCAAAGAGCCATGCCTTTCAGGTTTGGAATACTCAGTTGGCATGGCTTGCTGATTGGCTTATTCTCAGTGACTCTCATTTCCTGTGGGGAAACTCAAGTTGAATTTTGTAGGTTTTTTGACTCCTCCCAAATTATGACTTTTAATGTTTGTTTTAAATTTGTTTTAATTTATTACATTTCAAAGAGATATGCTGGAAAGAAGAAATCTTTGAGCCATATTTAATATGGACATCTGGCCCTATACAATGAACTGAGGGTTTTTAATCTTTAGTATATCATGTTTCACTCCCAGTTATTGGGATGGCCTTAACAGAGGTTTATCCTCACTAAATCTTTATTTGTGATTGAATATTTGAGATTCTGGTGAATCTTAAATACTGAGTGAACACTCAAAGTCTAATGTTCACTGATTTGAATAGATTGAAGAAATCTGATTTAAACTATGTTTTTATGATTTATATATGCATAGTCATATACTGTATCTCCTAAAAAAATACACATTCTCTCAGGGGAAGGCAGTTTTGTTTATATGATATTATAATTGCCTTCATTGATTTCTGATGTTATTTCTGAAGATAATTTTATTCTCCCATTTCTTCTTCAGAGCTATTATCCACATTTACTTAAATGGTTTTCTTCTGCCACCTGAACACAAGCTAGTCAAACTTGAATATCATTCTATTTGATTCAGTTAATAAAATAAAAAGGTGGTACCATAGCTATGATACCATAGGTGTCATGAATGCTTTAGACGTTTCACATAGTAACTCATTTGGTTTTAAATTGAAGGCAATGATTGAATAACGTTCATCTGGGTAGAAGATTACCTTTAAGGAGGGCTCTGGTGCAGGCTGCCTCTCCTTTTTATTTATTTATTTATTTATTTTTTATTTATTTTGCAAGTAAGTCCAAAGAAGTTTGAGTTTTCCTCCTTTGCTTCAACAGTTGTGGGCTCCCTGAACCTAAGCCATGGCATTGTCCATACCAATGGGTAGGGAAATAGACCTACTTCACCACAGTAATGTTTCACACATCTGCTCTAACTGCTCACTCTCCCCCTGCCCGTGCTTTTCTGCAAGGTGCCTCTCCCAGCAGTTTTATTCCACCTTTGCTTTGCATGGAAATAACTTGGCTTACATAAATTGTGCGTGTGTCCCGTGTGACTGTCTCTGATTTGGGTTGCCATGCCTCACCTTTTAACTTTGGACTCACATATCAGTTTTATCACGGTTGTTGTTTCTGTTGTTTTCTTTCCTTTCTCCGCCTCCTTGGTCTGTCCATTTTGTGTCTAAACAAGGAGGTTGCTCCAAGGAAAGGCCCATGCCTCTTAGCACAAGAGTGTTTGTTCCATCGTTAGGTGTGACTTTCCCTTAGTTGAAATGCCGGTTAGCAGCTAATTCAGATACATTTTGTCGAGTGATTGTATATGGGCAGGATGAAATGTGCTAAATTCCATATTTGTCTAGGATTTTGAATGTATGCACACTCTAGATGTTAGTCTGAGTTTGCTACTACTGGCTTTCTCCTAGAGGAAATCAACTTTCTGCAATTTTTAATGCTTTTATCCATTTTCCCCATGTTTTTATTTTTTCCAACATTGATCTGTAACATCTAAACAATCTTGAGATACCTCTGTGTAATTTCACTGCGTTCTTTCTTTGTTTTGATTTGTGATAGTTTTATGTGTGTATGTCTTGATTATTTGTACTAGCTTTGTTGTATGTGTGGATGTGCTACAAGTGAGAAAATTAAGCAAGTTATTTCCTGCTCATTTTTCCTTTTCAGTTTTTTTTCCGTTAGCCTTGCTTTGCTCTTGTACCCTGAGACCTTGTGGATCCGCCATTCCCAGCCCGTTTTGTTGCCCTTCCCACCACGGCAGGAAAAGACGCTGTCTCGTTTCAGTCCTGATTGCATTTGCCAATATCTTTTTTGATTTCCATTTTACTTTCAATGTTTTTCATTTACATCAAAGATGATGAGACAGAATCTACAGAAACATCTGTCCTGAAAAGTCACCTGGTTAATGAAGTTCCTGTCCTAGCAAGTCCGGACTTGCTCTCGGAAGTTTCTGAGATGAAACAAGATTTGATCAAAATGACTGCCATCTTGACCACAGATGTGTCTGATAAGGCAGGTTCTATTAAAGTGAAGGAGCTGGCGAAAGCTGCCGAGGAAGAGCCAGGAGAGCCTTTTGAGATTGTGGAAAGAGTGAAAGAGGACTTAGAGAAGGTGAATGCGATCCTGAGAAGCGGAACCTGCACAAGGGACGAAGGCCACGTGCAGGGCTCTCAGTCTGAGAGAGAGTTAGTGGAGGAGGATTGGGTTATTGTCAGTGCTGAGGAAATACAAGAGGCTAAGCAAAAAGCACCTGTAGAGATCACTGAATACCCGTGTGTAGAAGTTAGATTAGAGAAGAAACCCAAAGTCAGAACTGAGAAAGACCCGACTGGGCTAGTGAACTACCTAACAGAGGATCTCAATTCCTATGAGTCTTCACATGAGGAGACCCCTCAGACACAGACCACTCAGGACACTTCCGGGGAGCAAAAGGAGGCTCCCTGTAGTGCCAGGGCCTCCGCAAGTGGAGGGAAGGATGTGCCCTCTGAAGAGACACAAGCCACATCGAAGCAGCACAAGCCGAGCTTGGGCATCAAAAAGCCTGTGAGACGGAAATTAAAAGAGAAGGAGAAGCAGAAGCAGAAAGAAGAGGGTTTGCCAGACAAAGCTACAGACAAAACTGAACTGAAAAAAGGCAGCTCAGAGGAGTCATTAGACGAAGACCCAGGTCTGGCCCCTGAGCCTCTTCCTACTGAGAAGGCCACATCTCCGTTGATTGAAGAAACTCCCATTGGTTCCATAAAGGACAAAGTAAAGGCCCTTCAGAAGCGCGTGGAAGATGAGCAGAAAGGTCGGAGCAAGTTGCCCATCAGGGTTAAAGGCAAGGAGGATGTGCCAAAAAAGACCACCCCCAGGACACACCCCACTGTGTCACCTTCCCTCAAATCAGAGAGGCACCCCCCGACATCCCCTTCCTCCAAAACAGAGAGACACTCTTCTCTTTCTTCCTCTGCAAAACCAGATCGGCACCCTCCACTGTCGCCATCAAATAAAACTGAGAAACACTCACCTGTGTCCCCATCCCCCAAGACGGAAAGACACTCGCCAGTGTCATCATCAGGTAAAGCCGAGAAGCACTCACCTGTATCACCCTCAACCAAGACAGAAAGGCACTCCCCTGTGTCATCTGCAAAACCAGAAAGACACACACCTGTGTCCCCTGCAGGCAAAGCAGACAAACGTCCACCTGTCTTGTCCTCTGGGAGGACAGAGAAACATCCACCTGTGTCACCTGGAAAAACAGAAAAACGTCTACCCGTCCTGCCCTCGGGAAGAACAGAAAAGCATCCAACGACCGGGAAAACTGAGAAGCACCTGCCCGTCTCACCTGGGAAAACAGAGAAGCAACCACCTGTATCTCCCACCTCTAAAACAGAAAGAATCGAAGAAACCATGTCTGTCCGGGAGCTGATGAAGGCCTTCCAGTCTGGTCAGGACCCATCAAAACATAAAACTGGACTCTTTGAGCACAAAGTGGCCAAACAGAAGCAACCACAAGAGAAAGGGAAAAACCGGGTCGAAAAAGAAAAGGGGCATACAACAAACACACGAGAATTGCAGAAAACGGAGAGCCAGACAATCAAACGTGGCCAGAGATTTCTGGTAACAGGAACTTCGGAACCCAAAAAGGGAATCCGGGCCTCCAGCATTGGATTCAAGAAAGAAGATGCAGTGGGAGAAAAGGAGAAAGTGCTTGGGCCCAAAACAGCTGAAGTTGTCCAGTCAACACCAGAAGAAGAAAGCCACAGAGACAGCGACATCCCCAAAGAAAAGATGGCAGATGAACAGGGAGACATGGATCTCCAGATCAGCCCAGACAGGAAAACATCCACCGACTTCTCTGATGTCATTAAGCAAGAGCTGGAAAACAATGACAAATACCAAGAATTCCGCCTAAGTGCAGAAACCACTGAAAAGGCCCAGCTGCACTTAGACCAAGTTCTCACCAGTCCTTTTAACACTACATTTCCATTGGATTACATGAAAGATGAATTCCTCCCTGCTCTTTCTTTACAGAGCAGTGCTTTGCCTGGCAGTTCTGAAAGCTTGAAACATGAAGGAACTATGGGCTCTCCTTGTGGCAGCCTCATGGAGGGTACCCCACAGATCAGTTCAGAAGAAAGCTTTAAGCATGAGGGCCTAGCAGAGACCCCCGAGACCAGCCCAGAAAGTCTTTCTTTCTCACCAAAGAGAAGTGAGGAGCAGATTGGGGAACCAAAGGAAACCACCCAGTTAGAAACACCAATAGAAATTCATTCAGAAAAAGAACATCCCACCACCAAAGATGTGATGGTTGATCCTGAAGGACCAAATTCCATAGTTGCTGAGAGCTCAGAGCCCTCTTCCGAATATTTGCGGGAGACGGCTGCCCCAGACCCTTCTGCAGATACATGTCCCAAACCAGAAAGTGATTACCCTGGAAGTTCTAGTTTGACAACAGCCAGTCAAATACCCAAGTCATCCCATGATGCAAGTCAACTTACATGTGGGGATTCAGCCCACCACAAGACACAAACTGACATTGAGACTCGGGAGTCCTCAACACCTTGCAATGAGAGGAAGGCCCCACCTGATGCTTCTGCAAGGGCAGACACAGAAACTGAATCAAAGCCCCCAGGAGTCATCAGAAGTCCCCAAGGGTTAGAACTTCCACTTCCCAGCCGTGATAGTGAAGTGCTCAGTCCCATGGCTGACGAATCATTAGTAGTAAGCCACAAAGACTCTCTTGAAGCCAGCCCTGTGCTAGAGGATAACTCATCACACAAAACTCCAGATTCTCTAGAACCAAGTCCTTTGAAAGAATCTCCGTGCCGTGACTCTCTGGAAAGCAGCCCTGTTGAACCAAAGATGAAGGCTGGGATCCTCCCAAGTCACTTTCCTCTGCCTGCAGCTGTGGCCAAAACAGAACTCTTATCAGAGGTGGCTTCCATGAGGTCCCGGTTGCTCCGAGACCCTGACGGCAGTGCTGAGGACGACAGCCTTGAGCAGACATCGCTCATGGAGAGCTCTGGGAAGAGTCCTCTCTCACCTGACACTCCCAGCTCTGAGGAAGTGAGCTATGAGGTCACACCCAAAACCACAGACACAAGTACACCCAAACCAGCTGTGATTCATGAATGTTCAGAGGAGGATGACTCTGAAAATGGTGAGAAAAAGAGGTTCACGCCTGAAGAGGAGATGTTTAAAATGGTAACCAAAATTAAAATGTTTGATGAACTTGAACAGGAAGCAAAGCAGAAGAGGGACTGCAGAAAAGAAACCAAGCAAGAAGAATCTCCTTCAACCTCAGACCCAGATGCTGAGTGTTCAGCAGATGGAAATGAACCAAAACACGTAGATAATGTGGATGGCAAAAGTGATGTCCCTTTGTTAGTGACTTCAGAGAGCAGAAAGATTTCTTCCTCCTCAGAAAGTGAGCCTGAATTGACACAGCTTGAGAAAGGTGCTGACTCAGGGCTTTTACAGGAACCAGTTATTCGAGTGCAACCTCCTTCCCCACTTCCATCCAGCATAGACTCCAACTCAAGTCCAGAAGAAATACAGTTCCAGCCTATTGCTGCCAAACAATATACTTTCAAGATGAATGATGATACTCAGGAAGAATCACATACATCAGAAAAAGAAAAGGATTGTGAAACCCATTTAGCCAAAGACAATCATAAGATTTCCACCATTGACACAGATAGGCCTGATGATGATCTTAACAGAGTTGCTGATCAGCCAAAAATCTGTGATGGCCATGGATGTGAGGCTGTGAGTCCTAGCAACTCAGGCACGCCTGCCTCTTCAGCTCTCCAGAGTATAACTAGTGCGGATGTTGAGGAACAGCTGGCCCTCCAGAAGGAAGCATTAGCTCTCTCTGACACTGACAAGAAAGACACAGGAGGAGAACTGGAAGCATCTGTGGTGGACTCTCCACAGGCAGACTGCCCTAGGGAAAGCTCTCCATCTTTGTCCTCTTTGCCTCAATGTCTAGGATCTGAAGGAAAAGACTGTGGTGTAGACCTATCATCCACATCTTCCACTATGAAAGAGGAGGTCATAAAAACAGATCAGGCTTTTGAGAGCCTATCAAAAGACTGTTCCACTCTAGACTCATCTATGACAATGCAAACAGAGGGATATTCTGTGAATAGTCCCACATCTGACCTGGCTGACACTAATGAAACCTACGATCCTCAAGTCATAAGCCCTTATGAAAATGTTCCCCCCCAGTCTTTTTTCCCCAATGATGAAAGCAAACTGCAAATGCATGCAAGCCATACTACAAGCTCTCACTCCTCTGAAGTATATTCTGTTACCATCACATCCTCTATTAATGAGGTCACAGTGGAAAGCACCTGTAGTAGAACTGTTTCTGGCCAAGAATCTAATAATGAGAGCCAGAAGACAGAGATGGAATCCAAGCAAGACAGCACCAGGTGGGAAATGCAATCAGAGACAACTTTATCATCTTCAGAGCCTTCTGTGCTAAATACAGCAGTCATCAGTGGTGAAAAAATAAGCCAAGTCATTATCACAAAAACGGATGTGGATTCTGATTCCTGGAGTGAAATTCGAGAAGATGATGAAGCCTTTGAGGCACGAGTGAAAGAGGAAGAACAAAAGATATTTGGTTTGATGGTAGACAGACAGTCACAGGGTACCACCCCTGACACCACTCCTGCAAGGACTCCAACTGAAGAAGGGACCCCAACAAGTGAACAAAATCCATTTCTATTTCAGGAAGGAAAATTGTTTGAGATGACTCGAAGTGGTGCCATTGATATGACCAAACGCTCCTATGCAGATGAAAGTTTCCACTTTTTCCAAATCGGCCAAGAATCCGGGGAAGAGGTGCTCTCTGAAGACGTGAAAGTAGTGGCTGCTGCAGTTGGGCCCTCACAAGTAGAGAGAACAGCTGAGTCACCAGCACTTTCAGAATCAAAAGAAATGGGGGATGATGAAGCAGACTTAGTTCCAGATGATCTGAGTGAGGAATCAGAGGACATACCTGCCTCAGATAGTCAACTCAGCTCCCAAGTGGGCATTTCAGCTTCCACGGAAATGTCCAGAGAAGAGGATATTTCTACAGGGACCAAGGACCTCCCTACCATGCAAATGGAGAATGTACCTCCTGTGTCATCTTGCCCTGATGCCCCTGAACCAGGTACTCAGGTTCAGTTAGATTTCTCCACTGTTACCAGGTCCATATATTCAGGCCGAGATGATGATTCTCCCGATTCTTCCCCAGAGGAACAGAAATCAGTGATTGAAATTCCTACTGCATCAATGGAGAATGTGCCTTCTGCTGAAAGCAAATCCAAAATTCCTGTCAGGACTATCCCAGCCCTGCCCTCTGCACAGAATGAGAGTTCACTCTCTGAAGAGTTTCTCTCCAGTCTGGATAAAGAAAATAAGGAGGATGAAATAAAACCAAAGTCCAAAATCCCCATCAAAGCATCTGTCCAAAGAGTGGAGCAGCAGCTCTCACAAGCAGACTTGACTCTGCAGAAGATAGCAGCTTCTCAGGGACAGGACACAGATGATGGAAGCAAATCTGAATTTGATGACAGCCCTTTGGACTCTAACATCAGATGCCCAGTAAAACACATAGGTGACACTGAAACAGAGGTAGAGACCAGAGAGGGGGCAGAGGAGCTTGAGTCAGAAGAAGGGGACACGACACCAAAGATATTTTCATCCCGATTGCCAGTTAAGAATAGAAGTAGCGCATCCTCAGGCAGTGGGGGCTTGAGCCCCACTAAAGAAAGTAGGGAGCATTTCTTTGACCTGTACAGAAACTCCATCGAGTTCTTTGAGGAGATTAGTGATGAGGCTTCCAAGTTAGTGGATAGACTTACACAGTCAGAAAGGGAGCAGGAAGTAGTTTCAGATGATGAAAGTAGTAGCGCCCTGGAAGTTTCAGTAATTGAAAATCTGCCACCTGTTGAGACCGAGAACTCAGTTCCTGAGGACATCTTTGACACAAGGCCCATTTGGGATGAGTCCATTGAGACTCTGATTGAACGCATCCCTGATGAAAATGGCCATGACCATGCTGAAGGTATTTGCCAGCCACTGGGATTCCCTGTGCTACGCATGTCATAAATTTGATATAGTTTTTTTTTTGAATGTGTGTTTTATTTGGTGATTTGTGTCTCATTTTCTTTAAGCTTTTTTTGTAGTGGTTAATGTGTTTGTGTAAGCCCTTCGTGTTTTGTGCTTTCTTTGTATACTCTCGTCTATGAAAACAATCTCAAGATTGAGTAATGAGAATGCTTATGGAAAACATGAACATGATAACCAGGCAACAATGATCTTGCATCTCTTTAGCTGCTGCACGTTAAGGCCATGCAAGCTTTGAGTTTTGTTGTTCTGAAGTTCCAGGCTTAGTTTTGAGTATGCACTTTTGCCTTTATACGTGAATATACTGGGTTTTATTTCACAGTCTGAAGATACATTGTTTTTGCTTCTTCTCTTTTCATACTTTAAAATAATGTGTACTTACATTTTGTAATCATTAGGAAGCCATTTACTCAAGAAGAATTCACGTAATGTGCAATTCCAATTGTTGTGGATCTGTTTTTTATTCAGAAAGCTTGGATTTCAGATACCATTGGTAAACACTTTAAGCAAATTCATAAGGTAAAAAACTGCTTTTCATTTATGTGATCAATGAATGGTGACTACACTCCAATTAAATGCACCAGACAACAAAAACTCAAATTTTGCACAATTTTAGTTGACTGTGAGGGAATGATGTCTCGGAATTATAAAATAGAAAACCATAGGTGACTTTGAGGAGTCTCCTTTCATCTTCCAATATCTCTACAATGAAGACTAGGACACTAAATTTGAGCATAAAGTTTCCTGATTCCAGTCTAAAATGCTTCCATGAATCAATGAGAATTGAAAATGAATTGGAAAATTATAACCTGTGAGAGTGGTTAATGTCTGAGCTTGATCAGTAGCAAACAGGTAGAAGCTTTGCTCAGAAAAAAAAAACATACATGCACGACTTACACTTATCACTTATGTATGTACAACTTTTACATACAAATATAAGAGCTATGTCATCTGTTCTTTAAGAACACCAGGACACAGTGCATGGTTTTTCTAATCACACTGGATAAATACAGAATGGTATGATCATAATCTGATTGATTGGAAGTGATCTGTACTTCCATAGGCAAGCCAATTACTCCACTTCGGCATCTCATATATGATTTCTCTGGTATTTATAAGCATGATTGTCTTCTGGTGGGCAGTATTCTCTGAGATAACTCAGAAAGTCCTAAGTAGAAATCAACAACGTAAGTTATGTCCAGGAACTAGTCTTGATTAAAGAGATATGGACGTATATGGTTTTCATAATTCATATTAGCTTTTGTTCCCATTCCACCCTAGAAATCTGACAAACACACAACCAACATCACGTAAGATGTAAAATATTTGCTGCTCTCAAATATTTGGAGAAATTATTTCCTTTCTTTGGATGACCAGTACTGTGGTCCTTCTCCTGTCATAGAAAACCTTTGGCCATTCTATTTTTGACCTTCTTTAGATCCACAGGATGAGCAGGAACGGATCGAGGAAAGGCTGGCTTATATTGCTGATCACCTTGGCTTCAGCTGGACAGGTAAAATGAGTGTGACCCATTTTTAAAACAAAATCTGCTTGGTTTAAATAACACAGATACATCAGCCAAGTGTTATTAACTATTAAAAGTTCTTTTTTGCTTCTTTGCTTGAGGAAAATCATGTGACTAATGACAAAGCACACATGAAAATGTGGGTTCTATAGGTATCCCAGAGCGGGTCTTTTGTCATCCTCCAAACTAAGAATAAAGGACTTTAGATTTGAAGATATTGAGAGCACACCCACTTTCATCATTCACCATTGGGCAGTTGTAGAGATCTAAATTTAGGCGAAATGACTAAGTTTTAAAAACTTGCTAGATAAGACTATCATAAAATGTAATTTGAGATTTCTGCAGGGTTCCTTTTTAGATCTCTTGTTTCCTTTTTATATCTCTTGTTTCAGATAGCTTCGTTATAAGCAATACCTTAACTTGCTTTAGAGGAATATAGAAACAGATGACTAAAACTGGTTTCACAAATTTTTTGAGAAAGAGAGTATTTAAGTTTAGCAATCATATGTTAAATAACTTATCAAGGACTGCCCAATTTTACAATCTATTTATTTTTAAATAATGGTGTTTAGATTGAAAAACAATGCCTTTGTGTCTATCTCTGATTTAACATGATCAAGCAAGATTGTTAGCATGGATTTTATTCTTTTGTTCAAACCTCTGGTTTTGTGTATACCATTGTATCATTAAAAAATAGTGTAAAATCAATATTCTTTCAATATCTTAAGTATTTGATGATGAAGAGGAGCTCATAATACTTTTCAAGACAGTTGGTCAATTTGAATAAAAGATTAGATGATGAAGGAGTATATATCTCTCAATTTTAATCATTTAAATTTAAAATATTAATGAGCTTAATCTAATTGGTCAGCTTGAGAGATAAAATATTCAGAATTATTTTACTTTAAATATATATGTGTCTATAAATATACATTAAATATAATATGTATATTTTAGTACAAACTCAAACCCTATAACCATGTTCACAGATATAAAATGAAAAAGTAAATCTGTCTTCTTTACCTCTAATCTTCTAGCACTATTTCTCAAAAGTAGCAATGATAATTCTTTCTCCTGTATTCAGAGAAAATATTTTGTGCCTATATTTATGCCAATTATTTCAAAGTAACCAAAAATTTTCTTAAAATTTCTTGGAAATATTCCATCAGCATATTTTATTCTTTTAAGTGGCTAGTTAATTCCACTGTATTAATGTTCTACAATTTTATCAGTGGTCCTTGTCAATGAATTTTAGGTTTCTCATTAATGGCAATAAATAAAATTCTTGTGAATTGGTATATTTTTATAGTGTATCTATAGGACATATTCTTAGAAGTAGCATTACTAGGCTGATGAGATGTATACTTTAAAATTTCAAAAGATTTTTGTTATGTTACTCTTTACAGAGATTATGAGTCCACACACACACACATATATCCTAATAACCTATAAGCATCTACAGATAATGTTAGTGGTGGAATTTAAAGAAATGTTTTTGGTTCTTAGCTAAATAAATTAATGCTTCACAGACCTTTTACTCATGAATCATCAGATCAAAGAAAGGAATTTATCCAACCAGCATAATAGAAGCACAATCCAGATTTATCTAAGTATCCAGAAACAGGATTTAGAGCACTTAAAACATCACCATGATTATTAAAGTGAGAAACAATCCTATTGCTCTTATTTGTCTTGTTGCTCCTTTCACGCATTTGCTTTCCAGCACCTTGAGAGGATAATCAAATGCTATTTATCTTATCTACATTTTAGAATCAAATGGGCCTGAATTGTGCATATGTTATCACCATCTCCATATACTTGCTAGTATGACAATGATCAGTTTCATACCCATCATTAAAAGGAAAATCAAACTTGGTATGGAATAAAGGCATATATGAGTCACTTTTAATGTGGAAAAACAAATGGAAAGATCCCAAATACTCATAGCTATACAATAATCCATCAGTTATACAACCACAAAGCAAACCCTGAAGTTAATGTGCTTTCAAAGTCATATTTTCTCTTCTAGAATTAGCAAGAGAGTTGGATTTCACTGAAGAACAAATTCATCAAATTCGAATTGAGAACCCCAACTCCCTTCAAGACCAGAGTCATGCACTTCTTAAGTACTGGCTAGAAAGGGATGGGAAGCATGCCACAGGTGGGTACAGGACTATGTGCAAAGGGTGTTATGCTACTGTTGGAAATGCCTTGCTTAACCACCTCATTCTTGGAAATTCGGTAAACCTAAAATAACAAATTCCATCAATCCAATGTCCTACTATAAGCAAACAAGAACAAGTAGTTGTCATTTCTAAAATATACACAATTGCATAATAGAATCTAACACTGTATGCCCATGAGCAGTGTTAACCATTGGGAAATGAAACCAGCCCTGGCTTCTGGGTGAGTGTTATTCAAGTCCTAAAGGTTCCTACATATTGATCATGGATACATTTGCCTTCTTTAGCACTAGTTTTTTTTTTTAATTTTTTTTGCTTTTTTTTTTTTTAACTAGATAAAGAGAGAAACAGAAAGAGACCTTTCAATTGCTGGCCCACTCCCCAGATGCTCACAGCATATGGAGCTGGGGCAGGCCAAAGACAGGAACCCCATAGGTAGAGCTCTACAAAGACAGAGCTCTATAAGTTCCCTCTTCGCTGAAAACCAAAGTACTTGAATCATGTCTGTTGCCTCCTTCCATTTATGTTACCAAACCGCTGCGTGATAAGCAGAAGCAGGCTGCATCCCAAGCACTCTGAGAAGGAATGAGAGATTCCCAAGAAGCATTTTGAACCTCTGCTCCAAATGCCTGCCCCAGTGTTATTCCAAATACATTGCATTCAATTCTTCATTTTCCAAAACTTTTTGTTTTTATTAAAGATTTCATTTGGCATGAAAGGCAGAGTTACAAAGAGAAGGAGAGACAGACAGGACATCTTCCATTCACTAGTCAGCTTCCCAAATGGCTGTAAGAGTGGGACTGAAATGTGGATTTGGTTGGGCTCCTGTGTGTTACCTGACAACTTTAATTTTAGGGATTCTGCCCATGCTAAGCCACCATTTCTGTGCCTCTCTCTTGTTTGCTTCTCTGTAGATGCCCTTAATTAATGTGCCCTTAATTATTTGCTGAATTAATCTCCCCTTGCCAAAAAAAGAAGGATAAATAAAATAAAAGACATTTTTAAAGGAATATCTCTTGAATGTAATAAAATATATTTTTCTAATATTTCAGACACCATCCTCATTGAATGTCTTACTAAGATCAACCGAATGGATATTGTTCATCTCATGGAGACCAGCACAGAACATCTACAGGAGCGCATCACTCATAGCTATGCAGAAATTGAACAGACCATTACGCTGGATCATAGTGAAGGTTAAGCATTGTGTGTGTTTGGGGGTGAGGTGTGAATTCAGACACTGGACCTCTTGCCTTTCTGTTTTCAGAAAGTATACCAGAAGCTTTTGTGATTGTACATTCTCTTCCTTGTTACTTTGACTTCTCTGCCCACATTACAAAGCTCTTTTGTTTCCACTACCCCATACAAACCCACTGTTTGTCTTCCCATTCATTTCCTTTTCCTTAATTCCATAATAGCACTTCTGAGGTTTCCTAATTTCTTTTCTTTTTTTTTTTTTTTACTGTACCTTAGTCATCCATTTCTGTGCTCATAGCCAAGGCTATATCATCTCCAGTGACTGTACTACTTCTAAATGCTAATGTGACATGGTAATGTTTATTTCCTCTGTTACTTGTACGCCAATAATTCTTCAACCCTACTGGGACTTCCAGCGATTTACTCTATCAGATCTTCCATATTGAAATTTCCTTGATCTATTGTTATTCACTGTCATGCTTGATAACTGTTCCCTTTAAAGATTTATATGAAAGGCAAAGTTGCAATGAATGAGAAATGAAAGAAAAGATTTTCTACCTACTGATTCACTCCCCAAATGCCATGGCAGCCAGAGTTTAGCCAGGCTGTAGCCAGGAGTCAGGGACTTGTTCTGGTTGTCTCACAAGAGTGGAAAAGACCCGAACACTCGTGCCATCTTTTGCTGAATTCTCAGACACAATATTAGCAGGGAGATGGACTGGAAGTGAAACAGCTGGGCCTTGAACTAGCACCCATATAGGAAGCTGGTGTTTTAAGTGTCAGCTTAACCCAATATTCTACCACAAAACTTCTCTCACATACACTTTTTCTCTCTTCCCTGTTTTTCATGTCTCTATTTGACACTTACTATTTTTCCCTCAAATCTGCAACATTTCTCCTCTCCTTATTCACTGTCAGCTAATGATCAACTGTCATGCTAGCTTATTAAAAAGCAGGACTAAATGGAAGCAAAGGCTTGTATTCTCTTACCATAAAACCTACCAACATGTTTGCACTTCAATGAATACACTCCATGTTTTCTCCTGTTACATTGGATGAAGTTTTGTAGTTTTGCTGAAGCCATAATCTCTTCTAGAGTGCTAGAATTCATTCCTTTTGGCCCAGTCAAGGATGCTATTCATGCAACTATATATTCTGACTTTCTACAAATAGACCATGCCTACTCATATCATTAAAGTAAAGCAAATAGCTCCTTTTGCCGTTTATCCAATACCCATACACTACTGGTCTGTTTATCATTTTTTAGATTTTAAAGTATTTTATTATATAAAGTGAACAAATTTCACTCGTTTCACAATAGAAATCTAGGGGCATAATGATAATTTCCAACTCACCCTCCCTCCTGTCCACAATTTCTGTTCACTCCCCTCCTTCCTTCCTTTGTTTCTTTTCTTTTTTTATTTCTTTTTTAATTTTTATAATTGCATGCTTTCAGTTCACTTGCAATCACAGCGTAACACATGATTAGGTAAAGAACTAAACAAATAGCAAGTAGAAAAAGACCTATTGTTCCTCAAGAGAATAGACAAAACCTATAAACAATAATAAAATCTTAGAATGTCAGTCGTGCTCATATAGATTATATTTCTGTACTCTGTGTATTAGCTACCAAAGATAAGGAAAACATATAATATTTGTCTTTGGGGGACTGGTTGATTTAACTAAGCATGAGAGTTTCCATTACATCTATTTAGTTGCAAAAGACAGGATTTTATATTTTTATGGCCATATACTCTTATGTAGTCATCTATTGATATACAACTGTATTGATTCCATATTTTGGCTATTGTGAATTGAGCTGCCATTAATATCGATGTACAAATAACTTTTAAAATGCTTATATATTGGACCCAGCACAATCACCTAGTGCCTGAGTCCTCACCTTCATCTGCTCCAGATACCTGCTTGCTGTGGCCTGGGAAAGCAGTAGAGGATGGCCCAAAGTATGGGGACCCTACACTCACTTAGGAGACCCAAAAGAAGCTCCTCGCTTCAGAAGAGCTCAGCTCTGGCTGTTGTGGCTGCTTGGAGAGTGAACCAGCAGACGGAAGATCTTTCTCTCCTCTCTTACAAAAATAAATAAATAAATCTTTAAAAAAAACATCTTATTATTTGAAAGGGCTCCAGAAAGGGTAAGAGGTCCTTCATCTGTTCATTCATTCCCCAAGTGGCTGCAACAGCAAGAGTTGAGCTAGACCAAAGCCTGCAGTTGGGAATATCATCCAGGTCTCCCACATGGGTAGCAAGAGCACAAACTCTTAGGATATCTTCTACTGCTTTTCCCAGGTTTATTAGCAAGGAACAGGATCAACAGTGAAGCAGCTGGGACATGAGATGGAACCCATATTTGATGCCATTACAGGTGGCAACTTTATGTGATGTGCCACAAAACTGACCCCTTATCCATCCATTTTATCAGAAAATTGTTAAAATTGTTTTAAAGAATAGCCTGAATGGTCAGTATGCCTTCTTTCTTCCCATTGTCTTTAGAATTGTCTCTGTTTTTCAATCTAGGCAATCACTTGTTGATTACAAAAAATTCATTCTCTTCCTCATCGGTAACTTCAATGGGCAGTTCTCAGTCTTCAGTGTAGCTTCTCTTTAATCATGTTCTGACACAAACAATTTATCAATCTGAAAATGTTGTCTTCAATATTGTTTTCCAGGTCACATATTCACCCGCCTTTCCACACTTGTCCTCAATTTACTGGCTATTCCTCCTCCATCTCTTCCTGTGCCTTCTTGTTTCTTGCATAGTTAAGTGGTGTTAATGTTCTACAAGAGCCTCACAGTTTGTCCCCACTGCTACCTCTCTCTGCAATCACAAACGCCAGGCCTCCATGCCATTCCCAGAGAACCTGAGCATTCTGCTGCGTCAGGACATTGGCTCTTTCTGTTCCCTCCACCCTGGAATGTTCTCTCTCATCATCAGATAACTTTTTTCTTACTTTATTCAGGCCATTACTCAGGTTTCACCTCCAAAGGAAGCCTTACCAGATGAGGCTTTTTACTCTAAGCCTTTACTCTGATTTAGTTTTCTCCTACAATTTATGATAAGTACACACCTTCCAGGATGCAAGTTCAAGCAGGACAAAAGTTTTTCAACCTTGTTCAATGGAATACATTCAGCATCTACATAATAAGTGCTCAATGTATATTTATCTGTTAAATAATGACTACATTGATGGATCTCAGTCACTTCTCTATAAAAAAAAGTGCTAGTAACTCTTCAGTGCCCTGGATGTAGTGAAGTTTCCTAACCTGGCCTGACAGACCCTACAACAAAAAAATGTACTAAACCCAAAGTGCTATGGTGAGGACTAAACAAGTTTTATATGCAAAGCACTTAGAACAATGAGCAACAGACAGTAAATGGATAAAATATGCCAAATTGGTTAGCTATCTATTATTATTATTAATTCTCCCTTTTCTGAGAGTTTTCTATGCCCTATCACAGTAGATACTCATCTTTTGCTCTCCTTAAGACATTACACCCTCCAGATTTTCTTTCTTATCAACTTATCCTTGAGTTGGTTGCTCCCATGCACATCCACTGGAACCACCCAGTATGATCATTAGCTTTAAGGAAAGGCGTCTCTTCACCTTGTGAGCTCTGGGTCTACTTTACAGTATGGCACACAAGGATATACTCAGTAAAGTTAAGCATCCACTCCATGCCTAATTCTGCTTGTTCTCACCTCCAGGGTTCTCAGTCCTCCAGGAGGAACTCTGTACAGCACAGAACAAGCAGAAGGAAGAGCAAGCTGGGACTAAAGAGAGCGAGTCCTGTGACCAGCCTCCTATCGTCTCAGAGGAAGACATCTCTGTCGGCTATTCAACTCTTCAGGATTGCATCCCCAGAACGGAGGGGGACACAGCACTCTCCCCTCAAACTCAAAAGGAGCAACTTCACCAGGATTTCTCGGGAAAAACGCAAGATCTGCCTGAGGAGTCATCTCTTGAATATCAGCAGGAATACTTGTGAGTTTCAAGAGGAAGTCCATTATACTTCCAAAGACATAGGCACCTTGGCAGAAGTGTCCAGTGTATACCAACTGAACTCAGTCAAAAACTGTTTTAAAAGACCCTAATATCAAGTGACAGAAATACTTTAAAAAAATTGTAAGACAAGTAATTGGTACAGTCTGATAACTGAGATAGATCTGCTTAAGTTAACTTCCAGTTCTAGGATCCCAGGCTAAAATCCCTAAGTGCTTGAGTCCCCCCTTCTGAATCTGCAAATTATTATAATTATATACTCTTTGGTTATTTCAAAGGGTTGTCGGTGAAAGCATTGCTTTCATTACAATTATTGCCTGTGTGTTAGGTGTGCCTCATTTTCCATGTAATGTCCCTTGTACCAGGACTGATTTGGAGCACAAACAGTGACCTGAATTGCACCTTGTAGATGTTCATGGTATACAAAAGGTCTTCAAAAAGATCATTAATATTTAATTGTGAGAAAAAATATACATTGATTTCAAAATTATTTTGTACTTTTAAAACAAATTTGTCTTTAATTCCAGTTTTTCAGAAAAATTTTGAAATTCTCTTGTATAACAGCAAAGCTCCAAGGTGGCTAATCATTAAAAATATAAGTACCATACAAATGATTCACACAGAATAAGATATCAATTAGTGAAACAAGATGAAAGGATTTGGTGCAGCAATGAAGGCGCCACTTAAGAATTCTATGTGACAGAGAGGAAGAGAAATCTTTCATTGCTGGTTCACTTCACAAATGGGCTGGGCCAGGCTGTAGCCAGGCACCAGGAACTCCATCCAGGTCTTCCACATGGGTGGTAGGGATGAAAGCACTCCAGCCTGGCACAGCTGCTTCCCAGACCACGTTATCATGGAGTTGGAGGGGAAGCAGGGCAGCCAGGAAGATAACTGGCACTCAGAAAGGGTGTAGGCTTGTCAGGTGGTGGTTCAGCTCACGGAGGTACAACCACCAACCCCTATGATCATTTCTGTTAGACTGTATCACTTTATCAAAACTATATTCATGAGCTACAACTCTGTACTCCATCTTTGAACACTATTTGTCTTGGCCAAACTCATACAATTTGTTTTGCTCATTATGGTCTATGAAGACAAGCTCCATCTCCTCTTCCAGTTCCCTTGCTGGAGCAGTGGGAGCAAGGCAAGCTCCCCTGAGGGACACTCTGCCTTTTTCACTACAGTGTGACCACCCCGGGAACAGAAGTGTCTGAGTCTCAACCAGCTGTAGCCATCCTTAGCTCTCCCGGGAAGACTCCAGAGGAGATGGGTACCCCAGCAGAGGATGACAGACCATACCTTCAGACGCCAACGCCCAGTGAGCAGGGAGGCTCACCCATTGTACAAGAACCCGAAGAACCACCACAGCCCAGCGGGAAGAGCTCTCCACGCAAGAACAGCCTGGTGATCCTGGAGTCAACTGATGAGCAGCCACAGAGAACAGGGACACTTGATGCAGATGCCTCCTTTCAAAAGGTATGGCTGCCCTTCCTCTCCGTTGCCTTTGCTACCTGACACACACCCTTTTGCCCATTCCATGTCTCAAATAGTTGAACGCTTTTCCCTTTAAAATAAAATGGTTGCCCAAATTCATGAACATCAGCCACGGGACAGCTTCAATCCCTTTTGAATTCTGAAAACTGATGATTCTAGATAAAATGAGAAGCAGTTCTGATGCTACCAATTGAACCACAAATTCCAACTGGGAACATTTTTTGCTAAGAAAAAAATAGCACAAGGGTGACATAAGGTAGCTGACTCGGCCAGTCTAGTCTTGTACAACTTCTGTTAGTACTACCAGGAAACACACTGTGGTTATCAGCTGGTATTTGGCTCCCAACATAAACTTTTCTCTTCAGAGGGAGGATAATGTCTAAATTAGATTTATTTTAGTAATAACATAGAAAGATAATGAAGTCAAAGTTAAAGTTGGAAAGAGCAGGTAGGACGGACACTCTCACAGAACTTATTGAAGCCATGTACCTGCAGATGTGGTCTACATAGGTCACACACCTCAGGATTAATGTGCAGCTTGGTCCTGCTCAGATGTTTCAGAAGGTACCCAATATTTGTAATTGGCTTCCTGAAAGTAAGGACAGCCATATTTATAACTGGCTTCCTGGGCAATTCTTACCATAAAACTAGGAAAACCTATTTGAATGACATTTAATGTAAGCTCAGTTAGAGACCATTTCCTTTTGAAATGGAATGGTACTCAGGGACATTTTCTGCTTCAATGTTTTTTTTTTTTAAATTAATCTCAGGGAATAAAAGTGGTACACTATGTCTTTGGGTTTCTAGCTATATTTGTTTTTATTCACTCTGAGGGTGACAGTTGCTATCTATATTTAGTTAAAATCACAAGAGAGAGTATGAAAGATCCAGGTAGATGAAAACTTTCCGACTGGAGCATTTATTTTAAATAATGCACTCACTCCAGGATAGAGCTGATAGTCCAAGTGTGCCTTTGCACACCTTGAATTCCTTTTCCCTCAGGTCTTGATCCTAAACAGATATTAATAAGAATGTTTTGTATATGTGATCTCAGCCTAAGTTTCCAAATCAACTCAAGAATCAATTGCTTAAGTGAAGAGTTGCTGAGATATGTTTAATCTCCTCTATGCATTTAAATTAATTTTGATCGTTGTGTGTGCCCATATTTTATACAGCAATGTGTCCCGCCTATTTATGGTTAGCATTCAGTTATCTCTCCTAAGCTTTCTGTTAACATTGAAACTCTCATGATCCCAATTAAGGAATCCAGTTTCAATCACTTTTCTTGCTTATCATATTTATTTTTCTCATTTATCATATTTGTATTTTTCTCACCGTGTTTATTTTAAGAGGCAGAGTGAGAGAAGTAAAGACAGAGAAAGAGATCTTTTATCTGCTGGCTTACTTGACAAGTTGTCTGCGCCACACCAAATCCAGGAGCCAGGAGTGCCATTCTTGTTTCCCACAAAGTAGCAGTGGCCCAAGTACTGGAGCTGTCATCTGCTGCCTTCCCAGGTGTAATTGTGGGTAGGCGGATCAGAAACAGAGTAGCCAGGACTCAGTCTGAGCTGCCAACATGCATTACTGGCATTGCAAGGGCCAGCTTAACCTGCTGCCTGCACTAGCACACTAGGCCCACCAATCATATTTTAAGGCAGCAATTTCCCAAGTATCTTTAAAATACAATGTTTTAGAATTTACTTTTTGCTTCACCAAATAGAAATATAGAAAAATAATTAGGACATTTTGAAATATGTTAAACAAATTTAATTTTCTCTTTTTCTAATTTGGTTTTTGATGAGGTTTATATAGTTTATTAGGGTGGGACAGGTCAAGGATTAGGGGAAAATGAGTGAGACTGTTGTTTCCAACAATTTTTTTCTTCCTGCATCTGGGGGAAGGGAAGAGATAAGAGGAGAAGCCATGCCCAGCATCCCTACCACCTCAAATCCTGGGAATGGGGAACAGCCACCCAGGGCCCCTAATGTGGAGCATGCTCTGTGGGTTCTGCTCAATTGGTTTGAATAGTTTTGGAATGCTTTCAGTCTTGCTAATTCAAGGATGAGGAAATCCTTCCAAGGTCCGTTGGCTGACTTAGTCCACCTTTGAGTCTCCATTTGCCTGGATATTTGCTGCCAACGGTAGGCTGGGATAGCTAAACAATGTATTCTGCCCTCCATCCTCTGCTGTGGTACCACATATCCTCTGCAGGCCCCAGTGGACTGCCATTTCCTACATGTGCATCTGGATATGCCATCTATTACTCTGTCCAAGCCACTGAGGAGGCCTGATTCTGACACATGCAATCCATAGTCAGACCACAACTCCTGTGGTTTTCCACACAGTTGGAACAGTTCAGTTGGGAGAATCCTGAAAGAAACCTCATCTGAAATGATCCCAGATCTGACTCTAGTGTGTGCTTGTCAGTGTGGAGTCCAGCTCCATCCATCAACACTTCAGCCTACATATACAATGATAGTTGCAACTACTGCTGGGTCAGTTCTGTCTCCAACCCGATCTCTTACATAAACCAACAGATGCTGTGGTGCAAATCAACTCTTGGAACTCATGTTCACCAGTGAAAACTACTGCCTAATCAGAGAGACTCCCAATGACCCCCACTAGGCCCACCCCCAGCCCTGGTTCCTGTGCTTGCCAGTATGTGCAGTGGACTGGTCAAGTTTGTCCCACATCTCATTCAGCCCTCATACATGTCATTGGACCCTGAAGCCTAGCTCAATCCAACCAATCCCAATATCCAGCCTACATTCATGCTGGTGGCTACCATTACCTATCTGGTCAGGCCCGCCCTCACCCCTGGTCTCATGCTCACCAGTGAGGGTTGCAGCCTATCTAAAACATTAGATTCTATTAGGAAAGATTGATTCAGTCTGTGTCTCCCAAGATCCAACTTCTCATCAAAAATGATATAATAACCTTTTTGTGGCTAGGGACTCTATTTATTATGAAACCTGATTCCATCCCAGCTTCTCTACAAAAAGGTCTACCTACTATTATGCTATTATGCATAGCTCTTTTTTTTTTTCTTTTTTGGAAGGGAAATGTCATTGAAAATAGCTACAGGTAATTTTTACTGCTGACAGGATGTTTTGCTGCAAACAAGAGCTGTTCCCATACCTGCAGGTTAAGAATTCCCGTGTCCATGGCCCAACATATTCATTGAGCCACTAGGCTCTGTGTTGATATGCAGAAACAAGTCACAGGGGGAGGTAGCTGAGTTCCTGGACAGCCTGGGACACAAAGTTTTTCCCACCATGCTTAGAAACCTGGATTGACTTTGTAGAGAACAGACCCATACTTGTTTTTACTCCTGCTGATGTCTAAGCCAAAGCCTTCAGAAATAAAGCTTTTAGGATTTGTGGTGAGCCTTAGCAGAAACCAGTAAGAAAGCCACCCCTTAGTGTGTTAAACAAGTCGGCACTTCCATGCTTCCCCCAGGAGCTAACAGAGGAATTAGGGGAGCTGGAGGTCAGCTCAGACGAGGAGGCGACAATAACCACCAGGGTTGTCCGTCGGCGAGTGATTATTCAGGTACCAGCTGCTGGATGACTGCACGCCCAGGCCAGGGCTGAGCTGCTCCCTTACAGAGTGACCCGGCTGGAGCAGTGAGGCTTAGCATGCTGCGTAGGTAGTGCATGGGCATTGGCAAGCAGATCTCTTAACGCTTTCGAACTCTCCTTGGAAAGCGTGCAATAGAAATGACATCTGCAGACTGACCTCCACAGGAGTGAACAAGCAAGAGCAACATATGGCTCCTTCAGTTCCACCTACATCACCTCTTGCTTGTTGGCTGCTGTGTGTTTGTTTGAACTTTGATCTAACTTTGGTCAGTTTCTCCTAAGCATGTTATAACCTACCTGCTTTTGTTTCTTTGTTTTGTTTATTTAACCAACTACTTAACAGGATTTTACATTTCCACCATGCCTTTCAACATCACTTTGATGTTTTAGCATTCCCTATATCACAAGCAGGAGGGTGTAGTTATTCAGAATCTGTGCTAAACACCTGAAGTGACCCTATTCTCTCTACCATTTAGGGAGATGACATGCCTGACCTCCCCCCAGAATCCGTCACCGAAGAAGAATACATTGATGAGCATGGACACACTGTGGTGAAGAAGGTATTGTCTAATGCATCCCAACATCCTACGTGAAGCTGATCAATGTCGAGGCACTATAACTCAAATATAGATACATAAAGGCTGGAATTAGTGTTTTGGCACAGTGGGTTAAACCGATGTCAGCATCTCATATGAGTACAGCTTCACATCCTGGCTGCTCTGCTTCTGATCTAGCTCCCTGCTAATGCATGTGGTGACAAACTGAGATGGTCCAGGTACTTGGGTCCCTGCTGCCCATGTGGGAGACCTGAATGGAGTTTCCGACTTCTGACTTCCTCTTGGCCTAACCCTATTTATTGTGGCCATTTAGGCAGTAAAGTAGTGGGTGAATAATCTCCTTATTTCTTTCTCTCTGTCACTCTGCATTTCAAATACATAACTTTAAAACAAGGATACATGAAGGAAATATTTTTCAGGTGACTAGGAAAATCATCCGGCGGTATGTGACCTCTGATGGCACAGAGAAAGAAGAAATCACAGTGCAGGGGGTGCCACAGGAGCCTGTCCACATCACCGAGGAGGACGCCTACTCCAAAGTTATAAAGCGGGTCGTTCTGAAGAGTGATATCCAACAGTCAGAGGTACGAGGACCTAATCCCGACTCTCTTCTTCTGCCGGGATACAAAAGAGCTGAGCCAGGACAAGAGAGAGTGCTGAATCATGGTGGCCTCTTCACTTTTATGTAGCCATCTGCTTGTGGTTGCACATTTGTTTCTTGTTTCGTTTTTATTTTCCTGTGTGATTTTGTATCATTTCAATATCATTTCAGGGGGCTTTGTAGCCATTGTTGTCTTGGATCCATTTTATTTTTAATTTTCTCCTTTATTCATGGTTAATCATAGTAGAAATCCAAAAGTTAAATTTTACGAGAAAAAAATCCATTTCTTGCTGCCAATAATGTTGATATCTCATACGAGTTGAAGTCCCAGCTGCTCCACTCCAAATCCAGCTCCATGCTAATGCGTCTGAAAAGGCAGCAGAGGATGGCCAAGCGCTTAGGTCCCTACTACCCACATGAGAGTCCTAGATAGAATTCCAGGCTCCTGTCTCCAGCCTGTCACAGCTAGGCCATTGCAGCCACTGGAGCATTAGAGAACGAACCAGCAAAAGAAAGAATCTATTCCCTCTCCTTCCCCCACCCCCCGCCTCTCTTAAAAAAAAAAAAAGAATCCCTGGTGTTGGTGTAGTGGCGTAAGAGGCTAGCCTGCCCTGGTGCTGGCATTCCATCTGAGCATACTGAGGGGATACAGCCGTTAAACTGACACTACCAACAAATTATAGTTTCATTTATTTTTTCTCATTCTTCTTGTGTTTCCCAAAATACTATTTCCTAGAAGGCTAGTATAGAATGTTGCAGTTTTGTTCTTAGCAGGGAAAACTCCATTACTTGTTACCCGTTGGCATCCAGAAACTGTATTGTCTGTCCTTCATTCATTAGGTCACTTTGTCTGAACCCAGCATTTTGTCCAGTACCTCCCAATTTGAGGTTGAACCAGTGGAAGGCCGTAGAGTCAGCAAAGTTGTTAAAACAACTATGGTGCATGGAGAGAGGATGGAGAAACATCTTGGGGATTCTAATTTAGCCACTGATCTTCCTTCAGCCAAAGATGACTTTGAAGAGGTATAGAAGCATCAATATTTTGGTTTTTTCTGTGCATTCATTTCATGTTTGCTTTGTGTTTGAAAAAGAAAAAAAAACTTATTTGGTCATTTTGCCATTCCATATATAAATTCATGAAAGAATACAAAGTTAATTCAAGGGAACAAAATTCCTGTCTGTATAACGTGCATAGTGAGGTATAATTTATTTAAATTACACTGATCCTGATGTCCCCTGAAGAACTTTTAAGGGGACCAAGGTTGTACCAAAATGAGCAAAAGTGCTGCCTGTAATACCCTACATTCAGTATCAGAGTGCTGATTTACATCCTGGCAGCTCTCAATCCAATCTGTCTGCTGGTTAATGTCCCTCAGAAAGCAGCAGACGATGGCCCCTCAAGTCCTTGTACTCCTTGCACTCATATGGGAGACCCAGATGGAATTCCAGGTTCCTAGCTTCAGCCCTGGACCAGCCCAGGCCGTTGTGATCATGTCAACAATAAAGGAGCAGAAAAAAGGCCTGTGTTACCCTTTCTTTCAAATAGTCTTTACAGAAAGAGTTCCTCTAAGTCCTGTTGGCAGTGACTCTTTTCTGCTGTATCATACTAAGAATCTCTGGGTCTGAAACATTGTCATTCATTTGGTTTTAATGTTACAGACTTGGCAGACAGATGACACAGTTGCACTTGGAATGCTCAAGCCTTTCTCAAAGTGCCTTATTTAAGTTCTGACTGTGTTTTCAACTCCATCTGTTTGCTCACATTCACCTTGGAATGAAGCAGATTAGGGTTGTGGCTCAAGTAGTGGGGTCTCTACCATGGGAGACCCAGATTGAGTGCAGGACCCAAGCCTTGTCCTCTCTGTCTCTCTTTCTTCCTCTATCTTCTTCCTTCTTGCTTTTCTTCTCTCTGTCTCACTCTTGCTCTCTCCCCTCACTTTTCAACTAAAAGGAAAATAAGAAGTTTCTTTTAATGAGTTGAAACACTCCAAATGAATAAGGCAAAGAAGTAAAGCTACAGATCAGCTTCGCTAACATCTTCAAATATTATCAACAATAAGCAATAAAGAAACCTCAGATGTATCCCATATTCAGACATAGGAAAAATCATTTATAATTATTTAAGTCCTGGTTTCTAATAGTTAAGACAGATTCACACTCTTAATGCAATACCAAAATGAAAACATTTAAAAAACCCAGATTTCATAAGTTAGTAGCAAGCAAGTTTAGTAGTAAAATTTGACATAAGACTAGCAAAGAACTATTATGATAGGAAGTTTTTCCACACTATTTACAGTAAATATTCACAGGTTTTACTGTTGGTATAAAATGGATTTTAGTATAGGTAACTGCTTGTACTTTCTTTGTGGTCTCTGAAACCCATCGGACCCCTGGTGCTTTGATTAACGAATCACAAGCTCATGTAACAGCATCTACGAAGTATGTTTACAGTTGGAAACTTATGAAACCAAATGCTATGTATGTGTGTTTCTTGATGCACAATCAATATAACATATCTGAATGCTTGGGATGTTAAAACAAACTGTAAGTGCTTTTAGTTCTTCACATCTTGATAATTTGCAGTCTTGGATTTCAAAAGGTGAATTACCTGAATTGTACACTGGGACTTTATTTGTTTGTTTGTTTTGCCTCTGATCCTTGTATTTGTCATTAGAACTTTCACTATAAAAAAAAATAGTGATGTGAGGAAAGAATAAGTTAAGTCAAATGGTGCAAATATTAACTCAAGCTTTTTAAAGACTTATAGCAAATCTTTACAAATCATAGAAATGTTAAGGGATGTATTCAATAGAACTCAGTTCTCAGATTCTCTATTCAACTTTTATTTATCTTTTCAGATACATATTTTCCTAGTGACTATGAATGAGTAAATAACAGTATGTTTTCGAGTCTGCTATTTATGATGGGTTTTTTTCTTGTTTTCTTTCCTTCTTACTCAGGCTTTGAGTTATGCAGGTAGCACCATGAAAGTCCACTTTCCCAGTTTAGTAGAGAACGAAATCCTGAAAGAGGATGGATCAGTCATTAAAAGGTTTGGGTTAGCATGGGGTGATGCTTTGGCAACTAACACTGAAAATTTCTCCAAATTTAAGAAAAGTATAGTGTCTCTGCTTTCCCTGGGACCCCTCAAGAAGTGGCAGTTCTTCCTTGTAAGGCTTTGGTTAGGTGACAGATCTGGCACTGTGTTGTATCTTGAGTGTTGTTCTGATGTTGTAGCATAACAATAAGACACAGTGCAACTCAGAAACATGCTTGTACAGCCTGACTGCCTGAACTTTATCAAATCACCAATATGGTTGAAGCCATCCATCATGGATGGTCCATCACATTGACTGATTTGGGAAGTAGGGCAAAGAATCTGATCTAATCCTCACTAGCTGATTTTGTAAGCAGATACATTCAATTCAGTCTTAAGAGATCACTACTTTGAATGATAAATACTTGTTTCTTTTAACAAGTGCTTTCATAATTATGCATGTGAAGTCTGCGTGAGTGTTAAGAAAGTGTTGTGGAAGCAATGAGCAGGACATTTTTAAGAATGGAGGTGATGTGAATGCTCTGATTTGGTTCGTGTCCATCATGGATTTGGTACATAAACTCTGTCTCCTTGTCTGCTCTTACTTCTCTTTGGTTCCCTGGCAGCACTATATAAGCAATAGGACTAATAAAGTATTCTCAGCTTCTCAGTGAAAAGGCACAATGGAAATCCAAGTTACTATTGTGTTTTTCATTTTATTGAAAGGGAAAGAAAGATTGTCATTTATAGTACTCTACAAATCTATTTTAAGCCCTTGGAACATAATAATTAGAACAGCAAAATTAAAGGGTTTCTCACAGTTCCACCCTCCAATCAAATGTTAAAAATCTGTAGGAGCTAGGATTTCAAAAGACTGTAATTTTTCTCTCTGAACTTTACAAATGCCACATGAATTGAAGATAATGCTTTCTGTGCTCTGAACTCTTGTTATTCAGACAAAAGCATAGAAGCTCTGCATGTCCTCCAACACATAATCTTTAAACTGGAATAGATCTGGAGACCAATTAATCTGAAGTTTCTCAAATACAGTTGGGGATTTAAAAGCCAAGGATATGAACAACATGATTGAGTTCCAACAGTTAGTTACGGAACTCTATTACTAATGTACAACATTTGTATCTTATATTTTAATCACATGTATGTGCATATTCATAAACACATTCATCTGTTTGCCTACGCAAAATACTAAGGAATGTCCTCTGATGGAAATTTCTCCTATGACACCAATAGTCAGAAAGATTTGATTACTTCTTGGGAGGAAATAGTAAGATGTTAGCCTGTGTGTAAGAGAAAAAAACAAAGCTGAATAATTAGGAAAACACATTTTGAATTCAACCATTGGGAACATTTTCAACCTTTCAACCTTTCATCAAGAGAACCCACTTAAGTTTCCTTTCAGATACACAATCATTTAAATAATATCAGGTAACTGAGGCAGCATTAACAAAAAGAAGGAAGCAAATATGACCAAGAGAAAGTGAAGTATTTTAACTGAATGAGTTGTTTGAAAGTCGACGGAACTCCCAGCTTTTATACACAAGGAATCAGTAAGGAAAATTTCTGAATCAAGTCATGAAAACGGATTCTTTTCCCATAGTGGATTTACGTGAAGATGCCTGGGAAAACAGTAATTGCTTGGGGTTTGTGCTCTGGCTCTTGTTTGCACTGCATTCTAACTCTGTTGTATTTTTTTTATTTGGTGTATGACTTGGTTTCCTTAATATTTGGTGTCCTGATTTGTTAGAAGAGTAGAACACATTCCCCAGATATTTGTGGAATGAAGAATTATATCTTCAAGTAGACAGTGAGCAGAACTGAGAGTGACCAAATTATAATGTTGTCATCAGTAGGTGGGGGTACAGGACAATGGAGTTCTTTGAAATCAGTGCCCTGAATCCAAGCATGATTCTACAATTACTTTTTGAGGGAACTATTTTGAAACACCAGTTCACTTATCTAAAGTGTTTTTAAGGATTGCAAAAGTACTCCCTGCTCTAAAACATGATTTCTAACATGAATTACTTCAGAGAGATGACAAAGTTTCTGTTGATGCTTTATTAATCACTTAATATAGAAATATCTATAGGTGAGGCCATGAGTGCTGTAGCCATGAGCCTCATCACTGGCTGCATGCAGGTTATATAGAGAAAGAATGTAATTTGCTTTTGTCTGCTTCCCCATGCCCCTGCCCCACAGGACAACGCTGAGTAAAGCCAGAACACAGAAGAGGGCTGTGGTGAAGGACCAGCATGGAAAACACATTGATTTGGAGCACCTGGAGGATGTGCCAGAAGCACTAGCCCAGGATGACCTCCAGCATGATCTCCAGCAACTTCTCCGGCACTTCTGCAAGGAGGACTTAAAGCAAGAGGCCAAATGAGGAGCTAACCAATTCTCCCATGTGTTCACTCAATATGCAATTTCCCGTTTCTGCACGGGAGTGATGTAACTGACCCAACCTACTGGGATATCCTGGCATTTCCACTGTTAGCAAATATACTGCATTCTATTTTCATTTCGTCCCTACCCCAACCCCATCCTCTTTACTGATAAGCTAATTTGTGACCAAAGATAGCATCCTTCATTTTGGATGCTGTATCCACTACTTTGTTATATCTGTACTAACCTGGGGATCGGCCACCTCCAATATTCTTTGCTTCTGCACAAGCTCCGTGAAAACCCATTGATCGGAAGAACTTCACCTGCAGACCTCTTCAAGTGACAATTTATAGGAACCCTGCAGAGGGATCTCCATGTACAATGTATATAGCTGAAATGCTCAGATGAACAACATATTAAAGTTAAAACCACTGCCTATCATAACTACATCGGACATCATGGAATAAAAGGCCCCTAGAAATTGATGAACAATGATTAATAAGATATTGCTAACACAATCGAATGATAATGCTGTCCTACTACGCAAGAAGCACTTCAGACCCGTTGTGACCTTAGAACTTCCAGAGTAACCATTGCTCCCGGTTAAAGATGGGTTAATAGCCTTGAAGAACCGTCTTCATGGAGAAGTTTGTGCTGGTGCTGGCCAGACATGATGTGTGATTCTCCAACAGCCACTCACAGGGAGGGGAGGAAGGGAGCACAAGGCAGAGTGAAGCAATGATGTATCGGGGAGCTGGCAACTACATCCTGTGGCTTCCTAGCATCTTCAGGTCTCTTAAATCTTGGACACATTGGCAGGGTATTTTACAAGCTATAACTACTGTAGTTTTCCAGTTTCCATTGCTGCTTTAGCAAACCATGCTGTCTTACGGGTGGCACTCTCTTCTGGCCACTGCACTGTAGATAATTCATTGGAAACAAGACTTGCCCACTACTCAAAAGGTCAAAGCCCTTCACCATGTTGGAGTGGTTTCTTTTTTCTTTTTTCCAGGTTTATATCTTCTCTACTACCTGCATGTGGCATTCAAAAATCAAAACCATGGTCCAAACACTCATCTAATCACGTTCATAGTTTTCATTCTTTTTACCCTGAGTGAACACTTCACTGTCCAGCTAGATCTGTTTTTCAGCTTGTAGATGAGATTGAGAAATCTTTGAGAATTTGGTTTTTGTTAAAATTTGGGGTTTATTTTTTTTTTAAACCTACACTCCCTTGGAAATTCTGAAGTGCATTCATGCACTTTTGTGTTTGTTGGTTTCTTTTAAGAAAGGGACTATAACAATCCTAGTGACCCCAATGTCCTAGTCCATATTCTTCTAGTGGTTGAGGCTGTGTAGCATTTTAACATATATATATATACACACACATATATATTCACAAATATATTCAGAAACGGCATACATTTTCAATCAGTTATCTGTTAAAGAAAGTATATTCAATGAAGATGAAACTTTAAAAAAGAAAAAAAGAATCTACCTTCCAGGAATTGAACATTTTCCAATTCTTTCTGGTCTTTTCCTGTTGTGCAAAAATGACTCATTGCTCCAAATGTCAAAAACAAATGTGGCAAACAATGGCACTTCATCATTTAAAATAACATTGCCAAGAGAGAAAATTTCCTAGGAGGGAGATTTCCCATAAACCAAATCTCCTAAGTCTCAAATGCTAGCGCTTTTTGGCAGTTGGGTAGGAAATAAAGCATTCTTTGGCAGCCAAAATGAAAGAGGCCCAGGGTGAAACTTTTTCAGACACACCAGGGCCTTCTTGTCAAACTTTCACTGGAGCTCAAGAAAAGCATTTCTGTTGTGCTGTTTGCAGTGCAGATGATGTCTGTGTAACAACATAATGGTTATTCACCTTTTTCGACTTTGATTTCTTTTTGCTGTGTTATCAAAAAACTTGAATACTGTGAGAAGAAGTGAATTTTTTAGTTGACGAATCAGCATCTTGTTCCCATGGTGATAACACTAATTGAATATATCTATGAGGGCATGTATTAGTTAATGGAAAAACTACAACACTAACAATACATAGCTGCAACGTGTACAATGGCTGATTTAATTCAATAAAATGTACAAGTGTTAAATGTGGCAGCAGTGCTTTGTTCTTTTTCTATCACAACTGTGTGATTTTAGGAAAGTAAGACACTGCAGACTTGAAAGTAACAAAAAATATAACTTGCTTTTTAGTGTTTTTATTTAGTAACTAGACATGTGGCGTGCCCAGTGCTATCAAACACTAGAATAAATTCTATCCCTGCCATCAAAGAACTTCTACTGTACATTACACAAAAGGAGAAGAAATGAAGGTTTATTTGCAGTTTTGTGATCACTAGGAAATGTTTAATAGGAATTTGGGGGTGATGACGAAAGGGAGCCTGGTGTTGATAGCATAGCAAGAGAGTAGGGTAGCTTTGTATTCTTGGCCTTTGTCCCTAAGACCAGAATCACCTGAAACATTTCTGCCTTTGGAACCCATGCTTAGCTCTGGAGTTCAGTATCTCTGACATCCTGTGAAGGAGGTATTAAATGGAGATATTACTATAAACAAAAACAGGACAAGGCAGTATACAACTGAAATCAGTTGTGTCTGAAGTATGTGGTTTCATTTGTTTTTTGAATAATCATAGAAATGATTTTTTATAGTGGAAGCAAAAATGTAAGGTTTAGAAATCAAGTAGATTTTATTTAGATAGTATCTAGTTTTATATATGAAGCCCACAGGGTCTTATTCATCTGCCTCATTGATTTGCAAGGTCTTTCAAAGCTAAAATATTAAATGATGCTTGAAATTTCCCAAATAAAGCAAAGTAATGTTTTTTTCCAAGGCAGGAGCACCCATATGACCCTCCCATTGCCACCTGGTTGTGTAATGTGTTGTGCTGTTTTTGGGAAGTCTGGATTTGCCCTACCTTGGATTTGATTAAAATGAAGAAAGAATCTAAATGTGCATGGTCTTCTCATGTTTAGTGATTCACTTTGCCATGCTTATTTCTTAAAAATGGACTTCTGTGATTCACATGTCCTTTGATGGAAATATTTTGTAAAGTGAGGTGAAGATAGAGCTTCCTAATGGAGGGTGGGTTATATGCACTCTCTGTGTACTCACAGACAGCTTTATGAGTCAGAAAAAAGTGAAACTTATGTCTTACCACTTTGATATAGACTTGAATTAAATTTGAAGTTAGGTTGCTTGTAGATTCATTCAATTTTGCACCACAAAGTGGGTCTATATGTGAACTAGTGGCACATAAGTAAAATGGACAAGAGAAGCTGATCATATTTTTTTAAAGATTTATTTTTAAATTTTTTTTATTGGAAAGGCAGATATACAGAGAGGAGGAGAGAGAGAGAGAAAGATCTTCCGTCCGATCATTCACTCCTCAAGTGAGCGCAACGGCCGAAGCTATGCCGATCCGAAGCCAGGAGCCTCTTCCGGGTCTCCCACGCGGGTGCAGGGTCCCAAAGCTTTGGGCCGTCCTCGACTGCTTTCCCGGGCCACAAGCAGGGAGGTGGGTGGGAAGTGGGGCTGCCAGGATTAGAACCGGCGCCCATATGGGATCCCGGGCGTTCAAGGAGAGGACCTTAACCACTGCGCCACCACGCCGGGCCCGATCATATTTTTAATACAAATCAACCTAGGTATGCGATTTCCTTACATGGAAAAAATGATAACCTGATTAGTTTTACTCTGCCATAAAGAAAAATTCTCTCAAAAGTTTTGTCTTCAGTGATTCCCTCCCACCTTGCTGAAAAACTAAACTGTCTTTTTTTCTTTTCATTCAAGGTATGACTTTATTTTCTTATCTAACTGAAACTAGAATTACAACCAGAATGAACAACCTTATAAAAATTTATAATGCAATTTTATGCCATTGCAAGACTGGAGCCTTTCAGGATATCTAGCAGGGGAGAAGAACTTCCAACTCCTGCACACACATTTTGAAGTACTCCTATTTGGTTATACTCAGATTTTCTGGTAATAATAAATTTATCCCCTTGATTTTTAAAAAGATTTATTTGAAAGGAATAATGACAGAGAGGGAGAGACAGAGAACTTCCATCAATTGGTTCATTCTCCAAATCCTGCAACAACCAGCTGTGTCTGAAGGCAGGCTACAGGAATCGCATCAGGCATTCAAGCACTTGGACCAGCAGCTGTTTCCCTCAGGGAGCACCAACAGGCAGCTGAGGCAAACATTAAGTGGCCAGAATTTGCACCCTTGCACTCCGTTTGGGGTGTAGGCAAACCACACAGAGTCTAAGCTTGGTGCCAAAACTCCCGCCACATCATTTGCTTTATGTTTAACTCCGCAGTATTGAGAAAATGGTACATGTGTACATGTGTACATGTGTACCATACTTTTAGGGCTGTCTATCTGCCAGGGAGAGTGCTTGTGGTAGACTTGCGCCAAGGATATCAGCATGGACCACGCTGACAGAGCTCTGACTGTTGGAGCATCCAAAGCGTCCTAGCAACTTTTATTTTCTTCATTACAATCCTATGAAGCAGAAACAGATGATGAAACTGGAGGACAAAGGGGTACATCAAGATCAGACAGCTAGAAAATGACTGATAAAATGAACACCTGAAACAAATGACTCCAACCACAAACTATTCTTCACACTTGAAAGACAATGACCCTACCACTTGAGAGTTCTTAATCTTGTAGCACAGACATATTGAACCAATACTTTCATAAACAAATATTAATTTGGGCCCAGCACGATAGCCTAGCAGCTAAAGTCTTTGCCTTACACACGCCAGGATCCCATATAGGAATTGGTTTTAATCCCGGCAGCTCTGCTTCCTATCCAGCTCCCTGCTTGGGGCCTGGGAAAGCAGTTGAGGACAGCCCAAGGCCTTGAGATCCTGTACCCATGTGGGAGACCAGGAAGAGGCTCCTGGCTCCTAGCCTTGGATCGGCGCAGCTCTGGATGTTGCAGTCAGCTGGGGAGTGAATCATCGGACAGAAGGTCTTCCTCTTTGTCTCTCCTCCTCTTTGTATATCTGCCTTTCTAATAAAAATAAATAAGTCTTTTAAAAATTAATTTTATTCTGGAAGATATCTTCTATGCAAGAAAACAAGCCTATTTGATAACTTTGTAAGTTCTGTTATTCAAACAAAAAATCTCTTGAAACTCGAGTATACCAGGCTTTATATTCACCAGATGACTTGCCTGTTATAGCAGAAAGGCATTGGACAAGCACTTCTTCAACATTATGGTAGAGTCCTCCAGAGAAACCAAACCCATCGGATGTGTACAGATACAGAAAGGGATTTACAGTACAGAATTGATGCATACAGTTATGGAAGCTAAATATCAAGGGTTCCACCTGGCAATCCTGAGGGTCAAGGGCAGGTGCTGTCTTCAAACCCAAAGAGAACAGTTGTGTCTCAGTTTGAAAGGAGAAGTAACCATTTTCTCAAAGGCAGACAGGTGGGGAGAGATGCACCTTACTTACTGCCCAGCCCCCCATGGACCAGTGGACCCAACCACATGAGGGAGGGCAATCAGCTCCACTCAGTTCACTTGCTCAAGTGTTCATCTCATCCAAAAGTACCATCCTAACCAAATCCAGAATGTTGGAGCAAGTAGCTGGGCACAGCATGATCCAGTCAAGCTAGTGCTTGAAACTAACCATCACAAATGTCTTCCCTATTGCTACCTCCAAAATCCTTTACGTTTACACACAGGCCACGACTTACTGTATCAGAGCGTTCTGTTACTTTCTAGATGTGTGGTCCATGGCTTTGCAGTGTGCTGAATGTTTGTTTCCCATGAAGTTTATGTGTTGAAAGTCTCCCCTGGCAGTGAGAGGGAATGCATATGTGAGAGGGGATGAGGCTGCCAGGGTGGAGATCCTGTGGCTGCAGTTATTGCCCTTATCTGCAGATCCCAGGCAATGAGCAAGCCCCTTCCACCAGGTAAGCATCCAGCACGGGCCGCATCTACGCACTCAGTGGCAAGCCCTCACCAGTCACTGGGGCACTGGAACCTTCACCTTGGATTTTCTTGCCTCCAGAACTGAGAGAAGCAAGTTTCTGCTGTGTGGAAGCTCCCTGTGTGTGGCGTTCTGGTGATGTGGTGATCTTGCTTTGCCAGAGCTGCTCTCTGATAATGTTCTCTCCTGGGTATCTCTCCCAGCCTGGAAACACAGCTCAGAAAAAAAGCAGATTTGGCCTATCTGCATGATTACTTACGTCCACTCTCTCTTTTCTCTGCATAGGTTTTCTCAGTTTATCATTATTTCTTAATCTTCATGCAATCTAACTTTAAAAACATATATATTAAATGAATTAGAAACCATAGGTTATGGTGAAAGTGGAACTCAAAGTTAAACTACAAGCCTGAAATGAGGGTTGTACCAGAATAGAAATGGAGTGGCCAGACAGTGAAACCATCTGTGAACCATCTGGTCATGGGGAAATGCGGAGCTTGTAACCAATGGGAGAGAGTGTGTCACATACGGCAAATGTGAAGACAAGTAAAACTGTAAGAATTATGCTAAGAAATGCTAAACATACAGAATAGATCTAAAAACTATTTTCTTAAAGTAGTAATATAATCACCACCAACATAATCAAGAGGTAAAAGATAAAACAAAACAAAATAAAATAAAATAAAAGCTAAAGTAAAAATATGCAATGTTCAAAAAGAGAATGGGGGCAGCATTGTGGCACATCATGTTAAGCCATCCTCGGAATTTCATCATCCAGTAGTGGAGTGCCACTTCAAATCCTGGCTGCTCTGCTTCCAATCCAGCTTCCTGCTAATATGCCTGGGAGGAAGCAAAAGAGTCCAGGTGCTTGAGTCCCTGGCCCTAATTCATTGATCCAAGTGGAGTTCCTGCCTCATGGATGGAAGTTCTCACAGTCTCTCCCTCTCTTTGACACTTTTCCCTTCAAATAAGTAATTAGATCAATAAACAACTACCGCTTAAAAAGAGAGAGCTTGGGGGAGAAAATCAGGGAGTAATAAAAAGATGTTACTTAAATTTAGATAAGTTAAAGTTGAAGGCTTTGATGAAACAGAAGATCTTGAAAAAAAATGGAAATTGCTAAAATTTACCC